ACTGAAACTTCACATTCGTTTTAATTCTCTGGATTTTTACATTTCTCCTCTCTGCCTCTTTATGCTTTATTCCCTCACTTCCTCAGATATGTCATATACTGTATATGGCAAAGATATCTTCCCTCTACCGCCTCATGCTGTGTGGAGATCTGTCTCTCTCCTCATGGAGTGAATCATGACATTATAAAGAAAATGCTCTCACTCACATGTCACATGAAACAGTCTGACAAGAAGAGCTTCAAGACAAAGACTTTGCCTCTTCTTTCACCACTTTTTTTTAGTCTTAACTCAGTTCACTTCACTCCTCTAGAGGGACTGAGTGCTGCATGGGAAAATGATATGCTTCGTGGCCATCTTGGAACATACCTGTAAGCTGAGGTTCAATATTAAATTAGGTTTCACAGCCATGATGTCTCCGGATAAAGTCAACTTTGAATGTTCTCTTAGCTGACTGAAGCCATTTTTGGGAAGAATTCAACTATATATTCATTGGCAGTGCTCTATGTCTTCATTCAAATTGTTAATTACATTGGATAAAGTTATTGAATCACTACTTTGTGCGGATGCAAATTCCATTTTCTTTGACTAGCACATGTGGAAAATAAGGTCCACGAAACTGCTTTACATCTACATGTCCCTCCCCCCACCATTCAGCCATCAAACCCTGTTCATGCCTCGCATTCATTCAGAGCTCTTAGGTGCGTTTGATTTTTAATAACACACCACCTCTAGTCTCAGGAATGTGTTAGATCCACAAAGACAAAGGCGTGGTACAGAACAGAGGGCGGCTGACTATGAGAAGTTAAGCTACCTGACGAGGAGAGTCAGTGAGTGACTTTGGATCATAAATCCTGCTAATGAACTCAGAGGTGATGATTTAAATGGAAAGTCCGCTGGAAAGTAAAATCCTTGTTATGATCTCAACTTTAGAGCTTTGTGCACTTTTCAGTATGTAATGTGGTGCAGTCACCTAACCACAGTGGCTCTCCAGGAGACGGTACACCCTCCGCTTAATAGCTCTCACACACACGGACGAACACACCCTTTCACAAGATCTGCAGAAAGCATTAGAGTGTGCATTGTGTAGCCAGTGTGGCTAAAGCTTTAAAGAAAGAGAGGAGTCAGTGAGTGTTATGATGACATGTAAATGATTCAGTCCCCGTAGGCATGAGACAACTGATTTAAATGAGAATCCAATAATCAGATTGCTGTAGACTTGAAGTTCAGTTGTAATGCCACCTGTTGTTGAGAGCTTTTTGATGCTGTGTGGAGCTGGGATGAATCTGGAAACCCACCTCTCCCCTGAATATGGACGTGTTTAATGTTCAGGGGGTTTAGGTATTATATTAACATTTGCTATATCTTTATGGCTATGTGTGGAAAAACATGCTGAACATTAGGCAAGATAACTAACAACAAGCTAATCAAGTTAGCAACAAGTGACATGATACATAAAATACAAGAAATTGAGACTGGATATTTGAGTGGATATTTAATATTTGATAATCCAATTCTGTGTTTATAATGAAGTCAGGGACTTATAAATAAAGTTACATAAGTTACAACGTGTAGATTAGATAGCACTGCCATCTCACTTTGCACATCTTAAGAGGTATATTTCCCAACCTTAGAGGCGAAGAGATAATGATCTTGTAGACATCAGATATATCAGATTGCAGCGTACAAATAAATTGCACAGTGAGACAAAAGCAAGGAATCCTTCCGCCATCAAATCCCATTAATGCTACATAAGTTACACATTTTTTGTGTATTTCCTGTTTTAGTCGACATATGAAATGGATAAAACAGTGTGTTTCATGTCACAGAAATAACAGCCATGAGCAAGTGTGTTCCATGTGAGATATACTGTTGGGCATCTGGTCTGTAGAGCAGCAGATGTCCTGAGTTGAGGTAGTGGAATTGGTGTCCCTTGAAAGAGGTGTGCTAACAGTTGCAGTAGTATTTTGTACTTTGCACCACGTGTTGCATGACATCACACTGGGTTCATTTCTCAACAGATCTCATTCTCACGATCCCCACCCAAGTCATCTGATCCCTCTCCTTTCCTTTGTGTTCATTACTATGGCACTGACCCTGGCTGTGCTATATCAGAGTGCCGGTCTCATTCAGACACCTTCCCAGCCAGACGGTGCCTCGGCCCAGACTTTCCCTACTGTATGCCGTCTCTGCAGTCTCTGTGGGTTTAGATTGTGTAATCACATTTGGAAAGATATTTTTTTCCTGACTTTCTGTGTCTGCAATCCTAATTTTCAACCCCCGCATTTTCCCAGTCTCCTCTCGTTCTAAATCCAGTACTGGGATGAAATCTGAACCATACAGTGCTGTTCTTCTTCTTCTTCCTGCCATGGCTGGGCCTTCCAGCTCGATTCTGCATGTTGCTGCCTGCACTCATGCTGTCCTAGTGGTTAAAAACCACTGTCAGAAGGTGTTAGGTAGTGGAAGGCTGCTTCTGAAGTATCCGTCTTGCTTCAGATTAAAAAAATTGACACTACTAGTTGTGTGTCTCACTGAGGTCCTTTAATTTTTCTGCCTGACTTTCGCTATGCGAGGATGTCCCCGCTGTGTTTAAAGTGATCTAGTCCCCTAATTACGCCATAGCCCAGACTCCATGGCAGTCCACAATTACTTCCATGTGTGCACACTTGGCTCAGCAGCAGAAAGAGGCCTCTCCTCTCCTCTCCTCTCCTCTCCTCTCCTCTCCTCTCGTGTTTACTGTCCAGGTCAGCATATGATACATTATATTGAAAAATACCAAAAGTACCAAAAGGAAAAAGAACATTAGTGAGCCATACGTTCTCTCCCAAACTTAACTCCGTTTGTCTTTTGTTGCTTAGCTGCAATGTATCGATAAACACCTGACACTGGTTGTAGTAGAGTACTGCTAGTAATGTTATTTATTGTTGTTGTATTTGTTATATTTGAAGTAGTAGCAATGGAAGCAGGAGTGGTAGTTCAATGCATAGAAACCAACAAATGCAATTGAATGAATTGTGTTTCATACACATTATTTTGCTGTAAACCTCAGTACTGCATTACAACTTTTCAACAACTGAGTGATAATGCAGAGTTGATGTAGGACGCATGATGGAAAATGGTAACCCTCAGTGTTTAGCAAGGTCTTTGCAGAAGGAAGAGGAATGTTGCTGTTTGCTGAAAGGCAATACGATGTTGAGCGTATGGGGTGTATATTTGACAAGGACGTTATGATTAGATTGGACATGGCCTCAGGAAATGAGATTAACAAAGAGATGGGTGGAATAATGCTGAGAAAACATGAAAAAGAGTATTGCACTTGATAAATGTTTTGTCTGTAACCATAGTAAAAGATGGAATAATGTGGAGTAAAGTGATTGGGTTAAGTGAAAATAGTTAATCTGCCTTTTATATAGTCTACAAAATTTCATCAGTAAATACTGAAAAACGCCCAAATTGACTTCCTCAATCAGTTACTTTTGTCTGATCAACAGTCCAAAACCCAAACATATGAAATACGCTTATTTGCTTACTGGCAAAGAGTAAGATGAGAAGATCAGTCTCATATCTATCCATTAAATAAGACTATAGCTTGGCACAAAGACTGGAAACAGGAAACAGCTAGCAGGTGGTTAGACTAGCTTAGCACAAAGACTGGAAACAGGAAACAGCTAGCAGGTGGTTAGCCTAGCTTAGCACAAAGACTGGAAACGAGGGAAAACAGCCAGCAGCTGATTAGCTTAGGTCAGGTTAGCTTAGCTTAGTGTAAAGACTGGTAACAGCTAGCCTGACTCTATGAAATGGTTACAAAATCCACCCACCAGCACCTCTAAAGCTTGCAATTAACACTTTCATTTGCTTTATCTGTACAAAACATGTAAAAACACACTTCACTGTTTGTGCAGTTTGCTTGGCAACTGCTTGATAATTTATCGAAATTGTTGTCTATTATTTTACTTTTGATCGACTTCAACTTTAATCACATATTTAATTAGTGAATAATGATTTATTCTGTATTTTGTTCTTAAGTACTTTTATGGCTGTTTAGTTTAAGATGTTTATGTAGAAAATAAGGATTACATCATTTTCAGGAGTTTGGCTGCTTTGATTAAATGACAAAAAAAACCCATATTTGGTAGTGATGCTGAAACTCAGGAATATTGGTCACCTAGCCCTAGCATGTGTAAAGAATGCTGTTCCTGACTGAACTTTCACTATTACTTCCTTAGCTGTCATAGTAGAACTGCTAGCAGTGTTGTTTGGTTTCAGTTTTCCCTCAAATCTCTCCCTGGATTCATTCCTTGCTTGCAGTTTTCCCCACAGCCCTGCTCTCTCGCTTTCTCCTTCTTTCCTCTGATTGTTCTATTGTGGGAATTTCGAAAACAACTGGACTTAAAATAAACACAATGGGGGACCCAATAAAACCGCCGTGAATAGATATATACAGTGAAACTCTCTCCAACCAGCAGCTTTCCCATAGATTTCAAGATTTTTCCCATATGTCAGAATAAAGCTGTTAAACAGATCAGTGACTTTACCTGCTTTCTTACTCAGGCACTGCTGCTGACTGGCTGGAGGGACCTGTTAGTCTGTCAAGCTGATGTGACTTTTACAGTGGTACACTTCAAAGTGAATATTCTACGTAGCCCTGCTCATGACAACAACATTTCTGTCTGTCTGCCGAATTTATGTGACGTAACACTAAATCATCAGGCTGTTCACACAATCATTATGAACATCTGTCCGTCTCTGAGGCAAATGGATCCAAAATGATCAATTCCAGACTCATGAATAAATCATGAATAAACGTCTTGGTGGATCTGACGTTTTCCTGAGCAATACGTTTTCCTAACTCTCATTTTTGGGGGTTTTATAACTTATTTGCTTGTGTGCTCACAAGTTTTTCCTCTTCCACTCATCTGATATGATTCATAGCTATGAACTGTTGACCTGGGGGAGTGTCTGTCCGTCTCGGTATGAGTCTCCCTCTTTCTCTCTCTCTGCAGTTGTGTGTCCCCTGACGTGTATGAACGGAGGAGTATGCAGCTCGAGAAAGCACTGCCTGTGCCCACACGGTTTCACCGGTCGGCTCTGCCAGTTTCCAGTCCAACAGACGCAGCACGCTCAGGCAGCGCGAGGCAACAAGCAGCCCGTCTACTCGGACGTCCTGAAACTGGGGGAGCAATCAGGCATAGGGCGTACCCAGTTGACACAAACACACTCAGTTTTCACCCTACCCTACACACAAGTAGGGCACCACTCATCTGAAGGTATCTGTCATTTACTACAACTAATGAACTTTTGCATCTCTCTTAGTTTTGAGGGATTGGGGAAATATATGAGATACATTTTGTTCCTGTAATCTCTTCCTTTTCTCTATTTTCAGTGCAGATTAATGTACGTGTTCACCACACACCAGACACCTCTGTAGTGATTCATCCTCTTGACCAATCAGACGTCAAGCCTCCTCACAAGGCAGGGCCACGCCTTATCCCATCCAGACACAAACCAAAGGGGCGATGCTTTCAGGAGACCACACCCAAGCAGGCTGTGAGTTTAGACACAAGCTGCAGTGATGGACAATCCTGAAACTGTTTCTTTTGTCATTTTCCACTGATTTCTTTGTCGTGTCTTGCTTAAGTGCGCCAGCACCCCGCTTCCTGTTCTGACCAATCAGGAGGATTGCTGTGGCAGTGTGGGGAATTCATGGGGACAAAACAAGTGTTACCAGTGCCCCAAACTACCAAGTGAGTTACAGTGTGCTACAAGAAATCTGCTCTACTTAGCTCTAATTCACTTTCTCCAGGTTTGAAGATGCCACCCACTCTGTGTTTACTCTTGGTTTTTTATTCAGATGTGGAAGTGCAACAAATTGTTTTTTTTTATAGTAGTCCCTTGTAGAGTTTTATCCAATCTACATCTTGTGTGTTCCTGAGAATAAAATATTGCTTTTTGAGCCAAAACTCAAAAAGCATTCCCAGCAATTTATACCTTCCACCTTATGAAATTATGGCCCTGGATTAAAACAATCACTTCATACTTCTATAAAAAAAAAGTGTTTGAATGTGTACATGATAGTTAGTGTAAGGTGGGGTAGGAAGTAAGTGAAGGAGAAAGCGGAATAAATTACGGGAATCACACACAGACAGTGAGACAGAAAAAGAGAATGTGGAAAATAACCCTCTACTTAAGCGTGTTCCTATGGGCCTGCCCAGTGCAGAACTGTCATCACATTGCTGAAGATTGAATTTCAAGAAAATCTTGGCTACTCACGTTTTTCCACTCCTCTATTATTCCATCTCTCAGTTCTGAGTCAGACAATGCTGCCATTGACAAAACCTGATACTGTACGTCTGGTTAGTCTTTAGATTACTGGATTCCTGCCTGGAGTGCTGTCTGTTTAGTTACATTCATATCCATTTAAAAGCTCGTCTTTTTTAATGAAAATGGCCAAAGTAAGCTGTGATCTTGCCCCTCTTTTCATTGTGCTCTCAAAATGTTCATGTGAGCGCATTCTTCCCACAGCTCTCTAATAAAACTGCCTTACATGTCTTTTACTCCCTAATGGAAAGTAAAACATTCAGTTCAAGCCTCATTTAGGGTCAAAAATAAGAACAAGAATAATACATTGTTATGAGTTCAAACCTCATGAAAACTTTTCTAGTCTATTCTCTGCCAAGCTACACTTCATCAAAGACCTCATAAAAAGTATTAGAAAAAGAAAAGCAAAGAAAGAAGAAATGTTAAAAGAGTATTTTGGAAATACGCTTATTAGTTTTCTGGTTGACAGTTAGATGAGAAGATTGATACCACTCATATCTGTACGGCAAATATGAAGCCAGCAGCCAGTTTACTTAACTTTAGCTTAGCACAGAGACTGGAAATGAGGACAACTCGTCTTGCTCTATCTAACAGTAACAAAAGCCGCTATTTTTTTACACCTGACATTGCTACCTGGTAAAATGACAAATGACAAATGTTTTAACGCTTTGATTTTTTTGTACGGAATAAACAAACAAGCTGTAACATGTTAATTAGTGAGATTTAGAAATGCAGGTATGCGAGCATGAAATGCAGTTGATTAAGGCAAGGGTGTGATTGCTTAAAGATAATGGCTAAATGTCCTGTAAATTTTCTGACTTTTTAAAATCTTTAACATTTCCAGATTTTGTAGAAGTTGCTCTTCAGGAATTCACTCTTTACTGTTTACTGTTATATTAAGTGTTCAAACTTCTACAGTAACGATTTTTAAAGTAGATTGTTGGGTAGGGTTTGTATTGCTTGTATCATCCACCTGCAGCCCTTCTCTCTACAGAAGCGCTATTTCACTCAGGTTTTTCTAACCTTCACCTCTGCGATTTGCCCTATCTTCTCCACCCTCAGATGCATCAGTCAAGCAAACCATTGTGGAAGACTACGGCTCTACCTGCCCACAAGGCTATAAAAGATTCAACAGCACTCACTGTCAAGGTAACACAGGCAGGATGTATCTTATAACAACGACAAATTACAACTAAGAACTCAGTTTTGCTTATATAATTTCCACTTTTTATATACTTATTAAACAGCAGTTCCCATGTGATAAAGCTCTGGTATCACTTGCAATCTAAATAGATACCATCCTAGACAGTATATCAGAATAAGCTTTTCATTCCCCCCCCTCAATCTTGAAGATATCAACGAGTGCTCCATGCAGGGTGTCTGTCAGAATGGAGACTGTTTGAACACACTAGGCAGCTTCAAATGTTCCTGCAAGGCCGGTTTGGTGTTTGACAGGAATCAATGTGTTGGTGAGTAAGAGGCCTTTCTGGGTTTTGTCTCTTCTCTGCTTTTGACATTACATTTTCATTCCAAAATGGCATTCATTCTAAAATGGCATCCCGTTTCGTTGGGATGGACCATTCCCAGATGAAACTCTGTTGTCTCCTCTGTCAGAGTCTCCAGCTGAGCAGGCTCAGTGCTTCTTGATGGCGTCTGAGGACAGGGGCTGTGAGCACGCACTGCCCACCCACCTCACCCAGGAGATGTGCTGCTGCACAGTAGGCAAAGCCTGGGGCCGCAACTGTGAAAAATGTCCTCAGGTGGGCACAGGTGAGTGGACATACAGCAGGTACACGCCGAGAAAAAGTTGCAGTTCCCGATATGTGGGACATAGTTGTCATGATGATATCCGGTTGTCAGTCTGCACGTCAACGCACTTTATGAACACAAAAGAAATTTTAATGATCAACTTAAATCGGGTTGAAGCTGCCAAAACAACAGCAAGCAAAGTTTCTCTTCAATTTATAGCTTTTTAGGATTTTCATACATTTTTATATAGATTCCAAGAAGTAATCTGTGCTGCTTGCAAATATCAGATTCAGTTGCTTAGAGACTAAACTGTCTGCATGGTTTTAACATGTGAGATTCTAAAAAAAGTGAAAGAAAGTAAGAGTAAAACCCTCTCCTCTTTCTCCATGTGGTGATCAGTGGCCTTCAGTAAGATCTGCCCAGCTGGGAAAGGCTACTTTCTCCAAACTTTAAGAGAGACCGTGGCCTTCCCTCCAATCATCTTCCCCCCCAAGTCCGACAAGGAGGGTGAGTCCTCGAATACTGTTCACGCCACTCAGGAGTTCTCATCAAACATTTCCTACATTTCTGCATGTAAGTGCTTTGTAAGCATGTGAATTCACAGTTGTAATACCCCACTCTCTCTCTTACTCCTTTCAGAACCACAGCCGCCGGTAAGACATTATTTCTCTTTTTAATACAGTAATAAAAACTGGTTCTTGTTGCTGTTGTGAAATCTGATGATCTCTTTGAATCAGGAGAGACATCCAGAGACTACGACTGCTGTGCAGCAGGCTCCCACAACCACCAGCCGTCCTCGCGTGCCTGGTAATGCCACCTCTAGCCTCACCAGTCAGATAACCCCAGTGACAGAACATGATGATGAAACGCTAGTTTATTCACTACTGATACTTCGGCTGTCACAATGAGGGCAAAGGGCTTCTGTGTTGCTGCGAGCTGCAAAAACGTCTGATAGACTAGCATAGAGATATGCTCCCCCCGTGTGCGGTGAAGACAAAAGTATCAGGACTAAAGTTCAACATGTCATGTTTCCTCCTAAAGTCTGTCCACTTCATCTCTTCTGTTGGATCCACAGTTGTTAAACCTACCCCTCCAACAATCATCAGAATGACCCCGGGCAATGACCCCTTCGAAACACAGACAAAAGTCTTACGTGAGTTCCCTGCAAACCTCAGACTGACTCAAACATCTATTCTGCACTAAGCTTATAGATAGTTACTCATATAAAGGCTGGTTCATGTTTCATGCGCCTCAAAACTAGAAAACCCAGCTCTCCACATTCCCTAGTAAGAGTAGATGAGCTTTGGGTTCATCACTCACAAATGACATGTTGACTTTCCCCACACAATAAACATAATTAACGGCGTGCAAAAGAGTTATCTAAACATTGTGGCAATGCCTGTTGAAATAGAAAGAGAACAGTTTAACACTAAGCTAAAGTCAGCTGCATGCTTCTGTAATGGTTAACTGATGGTTTGGACACTTTGCATGTCGTGTGCTTTCAACCTTGAAGCATGAACCAGCCTTAAGGCTATGTTCACACTCTTCTTATTTTATGGAAGCAGGTGTTGCCATGAATACATTTTGTGCTGGTATTTAAAAGCAGGTTATGTGGCTTTTTACACTTACTGACCAGAATCAGAATTGGGAGCGACTGCATCCATCTTTTATGCTTCTACAGCCTCTCTGTCGGTCTTTCTGACCCACACCTGTCATTGGCTTTGATGTGAAAAAGTCAGAGGCCTTTTAAAAAACTGAATAAAGTGAACATAGCCAAAAATATGGCTAATTTAGGTATGGCATGGGTGTTATCAGCTCTCTCTCTATATAAAATAATAATAATATAGATGCACATACATCTATATATCCATATACTGTTTATGCATGTATAATGATGCGGGTACACTCTGTTTCCTCCTTGTAGCTGAGACAGATGAATGCAGGCTAAGCAGGAACATTTGTGGTCACGGAGAGTGTGAGAACAGCCTGAACGGCCACATTTGTCACTGTCACCCTGGCTACCATCTCAACCCACAGAGGAACATCTGTGAGGGTAAGAGACATTGGTAGAAATTTCTCATTTAGTTTCTTGGGCATGAGTGTCCCCTGGCAAACATAAGTTGCTCTGGTTTCAGGAAATGATTCTGTTTTTTATTTCAACAAACCCACTGATAGATAGAAATACAATTGAAGGGAAGAATGAAAACATACACAAATCACTTGCTACTTAATGCTCATTATGTACCAAATAAAATGTAACCGTCCATGAATTTTAAGTAATACCTCTCATTCTGTCCACTGGGCAATATATGGGTACTGCCTTAAGATTAGCATTAAATACTTAACTATAAAAATGTCAGCTCTTCTTCTAATCATTCTCAGTGTTGGTAAAAATAGACAAATGACGAGGATGATACATTTTTCTTATCTCAGTCTCAGAAAACAGCATGCTGAACCTGATCCCCGTAAAGCATTTGCTGCTTGATTGTTAAGGCCCACTCACGTGTGAAAGTATAAATAGAAAGAGCAATGCATAAATTATCATTATTTAAATCAGTATTTTGGCTTCCGCAATTGAATAAAGCTTTTCATTTAGTGCTTCCTATTCAATTATATTGTTTGGCCTGTGTAAAGGGGCAATCCACCAATTTTACACATGCAGGTCAATTTTCTCATCATGATGAGGACGACTCAACCTGCGAAAAACAGTTGTATAATGTCTTTTGTGGATCTGAAGAGAGCTTTTCAAAGTTTAAGAAGATATTTCTGTAACAATAAGCAGACCCGGCTCTAGGTTAACAAGAGCTTCCTCTAGAGGGGACTGTTGTGTTAAGTTTCGGTCTACGACATTTCTCAGTAAAGGCAGCTGGGATTTACATTTATTCATTTAGCTGATGCTTTTATCCAAAGCGACTTACAATTGCTATTTATGTCAGAGCTCGCACGCCTCTCTAGCAACTAGGGGCTAAAGCTGATGATACACAGGGCAGCTTTTTGAGCAATGTTGCTGGAGGCAATTCTGACTATGTTTTGAACAGATAGCGGCAGTGCAGGAAGGGGATTACAGGGGATTATAATCTTACTCATTACCACTGACAGCAACGTTGCCCAGCACGATTGCTCTGAAAGTTGCTCCGTGTATCATCAGCGTGACACGCATCAAGTGTCTTGCTCAGGGACACATTGGTGAGTCACAGTGGGGAGTTGAACCCAGGTCTACCACACCAAAGCCATGCATCTTATCCACTGTTCCACCACCCCAAGCCACGGGATGTGGAATTCCTTACCACTGAGTGTCAGAGAATGCAGTGCTTCAAAAATATTAAAGGTAGTGTGAAAATATGGTTGAAGGACAATCAGGAATGTAGTCACTGAGCTATGAGACACTGAATGTGGCCAGTATTTTTTACTGTGTGCATGGTAAAATTCTTTTTCAGTTCAATTCAAATCAGCTTTATTGGTATGAGTGTATAACAACTGTATTGCCAAAGCTACATATAGATTACATAAGAACAGTTAATTTCATTAAATAAGTAAATAATACAATAAAAGTTGTCTTTGTGTGTGTGTGTGTGTGTGTGTGTGTGTGTGTGTGTGTGTGTGTGTGTGGTAAAAAAATAAAATATATTAAAAATTAAAATAAAATAAATAAATGAAACAGTAACGTGTGTGTTATTATAATAATATATTAAAAATTAAAATAAAATAAATAGAAACCGTAAACGTGTGTGTGTGTGTGTGTGTGTGTGTGTGTGTGTGTGTGTGTGTATTAATACACAAAAAATAAAAAATGAATCAATCAATTTAAAAAAAATTGTATTTGGATTGTTGATCCTGCGATGGATTGGCGACCTGTCCAGCACCCGATGTCAGCTGGGATTGGCTCCAGCCCCCCGTGACCCTGCACACAGGATAAGTGGTTGACGATGGATGGATTGTTGATGTTGTGTTTTATATGGGAATTCATTATGGTTTTGGGAAGTTTGGTATATTTGAGTGTGTTTTTAGATTTTTATATCTGGCTTATTTGAATTGGTTGGCATCTATATATTTATGAAATGTAAGGTTTGGATTTGGTTTTACTTTTTTACTGTAATATCTTGTGTGCTATTGGCACCTGCCCAGGGACTGCAGATGGGAATTAGCTTTTTGCTATATCTGGTACAGTACATATATTGTGCATTGTCCCTGTTAAATAAATAAATATTTGACCTTGGGACCTTGAATGATGTTATTATAGGTGGTGAAAAACTCTTCCTGGGATCAGAGCACTGTGTCCTGTGAGCTTTCTGACCCTCTGTAGTCTGTCTGTAATATTCAACACTGTTTTCATCACGTGCAGTCATCATACTTTTATCATTGTTCTCTCCTTTTGTCCAGATAATAATGAATGTGAGACAGAACCGTGCGGCCACGGCAGGGGCCTTTGCGTCAATTTAGAAGGAGCTTACAAATGCCTCTGTCGTCAGGGCTATAAACATATGGTGCAGCATGGGAGACTTAAGTGCTTAGGTAAGTTAGGTTGAGTGGTTTCCATGTTAAAATGTTTAAATTAGTTAGTTAATGTTAAATTAGTTATCAGATCTTGATTTGGCTCAATCATTTTTGTTTTGCAGATGTGAATGAATGCTCTAAGCAAGACATCTGTGGTGTCGGAGGCCAGTGTGTGAACCTGCCCGGTTCTTACAAATGTGAATGTCACATCGGCTTTAGGAGCAAGTCACACCGTCACCCAGCCTGTGAAGGTACAAAGACACTGGTTATTAAGACATTACGGATGTTAGTGCACTGACAAAACACATATTATGTGTGTGTCACTATAATATGCTTGTGTCTGTGCTTGTGCCAATCCAAACATGGGTATGTTAAACTTCTTCTCACTTTTTCCAGACATAAACGAGTGTTTGAATCCCAACACTTGTCCCAATGAGCAATGTGAGAACACACCAGGCTCCTATGAGTGTGTTCCTTGCTTGCCTGGTCACGAGGCCCGTTCCGGTACATGCTATGGTGAGTACAATCCTGCTGTACACCAAAATTCATCTCTTATTAACTTCGTTTTTTATGTCCCTCTCTGTCAGTGTGTTTCTGTGAGGCAATGCCAAATGGAAAGCAACATGCTTACATTTCAATAAAAAGTTAACCTGCTCCTTCAGTAAAGGGTGTTTGAAGTTATGTTACTCCTGCTGCTGTTATCTGATTGGTAATGTGCAAATAATGGACAAAATTGATCACAATGGGCAATAATTCACCTATATTCACTGAGCAGGAGACGCTCAAAGAAAAGAAATATACTCATTAATACAGGTCAAGATTATTCAGTCAGCTTAGCAGTACTGGGGATAACTTGTTTTAACTTGAGGCAACAGTGTGTTGGGCATTATTACAGGGAAACATCATAGATCCTACTGTAGAAGCAAAATAAGAGCAAGAGACCTTAAAGGTCCAATGTGTAATATTTAGGAGGATCTATTGACAGAAATGCAATATCATATACATAACTATGCTTTCAGTGGTGTATAAAGACCTTATATAATGAACCGTAATGTTTTTATTACTTTAGAATGAGCCATTTCTATCTACATACACCACAGGTCCTCTTACATGGAAGTTGCCATGTTGCACCGTCATGTTTCTGTAACTGTAGCCCAAACGTACCAACTGATCTACAGAGCGTCTTTCGTCCCTACGTTGAAAAAGTACAAAGAACAAGAACTAGTAGTAGTATTAGTAATTGTCTGCAGGGACGTGCACAGACATTATGGGGGCAGGAGCTCAAGTAAAAAAAAGCATTAAAATTAAGCGTTTAAATACTTTTTGTTTCACATGCAAAATCACCTAAAGCTTAACACAGCCAAGCAACAGGATACTGAATTGCCTGAATACATTAATGTATTGATCAAATACATGATTATTATTGCTATTATAATTACACTTACCACGCGCGCACACACACGTGACAAAGACTTATTTTCTAATTTGAGGGAGGGCTGTCTGTATCATGTAAAGATATAGCATACAACACATTTATAGAATGGATAGTTATTATATGAGGAGCCTAAGATCAAAATGATGAAGTTACTGTTTAAGGCAGGACACTTTTTTCATGTAGTGGTCAATTTTGAGATTTTGGTCTATTTTGTCTTATTTACTCTAATGGAGAGAAAACTTCCAAAAAACACATTTAGATGGAGTTAGTTGTAAGCCTACTACCCTCCGTTTGTTTGCATTTGAAGATTTCTTTTAAATGAATCAAAACAATCTAATCTGCATATGTAAACATAACATTTGAGGGGAAAAGCCTCTTGATGTAAGTCAGTGGTGATATGCTTTAGTTATTTTGTTCATCCTATTAACCTTTTTGTGATTGTGATGACATTAGACACAAATTTTACTAGGTTCACCTGTAGTGTCTCCATTGAGTACAGGCCTGTATGGCCATGATATATTGCCTTAGCTAAACTTTAGCTAACATATTACATTATGAGAGTAGCTCATGAGTCATGAATGTTAGCAAGACACAAACTATATTTGTCTTTTTGCTAATTAACTGCAATCTCGAGGCAGTGGTAGTTTAGTCTTTTGTTCGTTACCTCCACACAAGTCAAGAAAAACACAGCTGGGATAAAAGCTGGGATGGGCTGCTGCCCGTCTGTCTGTGTGTGCTGCGCGGAGACGGGGAGGGCGAGAGAGGGAGAGAGGGGGAGAGATTCAATAAATATCTTTGTTCATTTATAAAAAATATTTTAAAAAGCACCCCAGAAAAATAGGGCAATTTCTCTTGAAGAAGTAAAAGGGCAGGTGCTGAAGCCCCTTTTGGTGCACGTGCCTTGTTGTCTGGTTTGTTAGAAGTAATCAGTGAAATTTGGACAAATGGAGACACACATACACACATATATTATATATGTATATATATTATATATATATATATATTTATATTTAGCACTAGAGCCGACAGAGCTTGTCAGCCACCGTAGCTTCTCCTACATGCTTGCAAAGGAAGGGGAGCAGTGGCTGAGCCGTTGGTTGCAATTCGCAACCCTCACCTCTAGCTGCCACCAAAACCCATACACTAAACCTTTAAAATGTTATGTCAACATAAATATTGCATTACATGTTTCTACTCATTTGTCCTCCACTACAGTAAAATGATTGAGTAATAAGTCAGGCACTGAAGCAGTTGTAGGGCACTGTATCAGCACCACACATCACAGTTACAGTATAATAATGTAAAGCTCTCACAGGTGAAGACATAACGTAATAGTACTGCAGTGATGTAAAATATATCAGCCAACCAAACATTGCCTCGCTGTAATGATAAACTTTCTTATAATCTCTCCTACACATTTCACCAGACATTAATGAGTGTCAGAAGCCTGGCATCTGTCCTAACGGGCGCTGTGAGAACCTCCCTGGTACTTACCGCTGCTTGTGCAACGAGGGTTTCCTCCCATCTTCAGACAGCAAGGGTTGCAGTGGTAAGTAATGCTTACGGGAACCTTTACACAACATTATCTAGACTAAGTTGGGTGATTTAATGGTCGTTTGGTGCTGAAGATGTAATTAGGAATTCTTAATCATTAAAGAAGTTGTCCTTCCCCCAAACAGACATTGATGAGTGTGAGGACGTCAGGCTGTGTGCTAATGGCCACTGCATAAATACAGAAGGCTCCTTCCAGTGCCAGTGCTACCCAGGATACCAGCGCACACAGGAGGGCAGCCACTGTGAAGGCATGAATAATTCAACAAAGTGTTTGCAGGGAACCAATATGCAATTATTTATCACCTGAAACCAAAGGAGACGTGTTGTTGTCTCTTAATAACTAATCACCATTGGATTGTCTAAATAAAGTGTGACAGAGTTCGGTTTGGTTTTGACACAGTTCATTAATAAATGTCAAAACTCCTCACCACATGCTTCACATTCCAACATTGTTTTTATTTCCTTCCCTTCAGATATCAATGAGTGTGAGAGGCCATCAAACTGTCAGAGAGGCCGCTGTATCAACAGTATGGGCTCATACCACTGTGAGTGCCAGAAGGGCTACATGCTGGTTGGAGGCAGGAGATGCCAAGGTCAGTTGCTTTAAATCGTTATGCTCAGACTTTTGTTAGAAAACAGGATGCTGTCTTTCATTTAGCTAGTAAGCTTGGGAGATGGTAAGCTAAACGGCAGTATAAAGCTGTCTTTAAGTTTGTATTTACAGTGCCTTTATGTTTATCTGTATCTTTAACCTTTAACCTTTCACCATTTTTACATTGTGTTTTGTCTTCTTTACAAATTTTACAAGTTCTGCAATAAATGTAATCAAATCAGGGCTGTGCTCAAAGTCTTGTTTTCTCATTTACTATTTCCTACATGGTACACATTCAATCGTTTACTCTATAGTGAACAGTAAACTGAGATGTTGGCCATTATTTTGTCATCTGACAGGTGTAATTTACACATCTCTCAAAGGCTTCACATTGTTTTTAAGAAGGTTGTGTCCATATTTAAAATGTAGAAACAAATATATCAATGACCAAATTTTTTTTACTTTACTCTTAAAAAATACTTAAAGTTTAAAGATAAAAAAAGAACAAAATCTATTTGTTTGCAACTCAGATTGTGTTTGGATGGAAACAAACACTTAGAGCAGTATATGCGCTTTCCCTTTTCAGACATAGACGAATGTGCCACAGACAGAAGTCTCTGCCAGCCCTTCGGCTCTTGTGAGAACAGACCGGGCTCGTATGTGTGTGTCTGCAATCACGGTTATGTCCTCTCAGAGGACAAACGCAGCTGTGAAGGTAAGCCTGCCCTGATTCCTTCTGCTTTACTGTATCCCAGAGCTTTCACCAGGCCTGAACGTGTGATCCCTGCCTGTCCCTAACCCAAACATTGCAGTTCAAACCCAGAGGGCTCGTAGGCTAAACAATAACAATCACTGGTTATAAACTGCCAAATCCTATTGTATTCTATATTCTATATGTTACAAACTTTAAAGTATTCAAAATAAAAGAAAGACCAGCTTGGCAAGCACATATGAGGCCCAGTCCAGTCATTGGATTTGCATACCAAAACCTCAGTTCCCTAACATTCACCATGTTTGTTCCTGCAGCAGTTCGAGTGCTGACGGACGAGAAGAAGGAGTGCTACCTGAACCTCGATGACACTGTGTTCTGCGACAGTGTTCTGGCCACCAACGTCACCAAGCAGGAGTGCTGCTGCTCCATTGGCGTGGGATGGGGAGACCACTGTGAGATCTACCCCTGTCCTGTCTCCCAATCAGGTACATTTACAGTACAGTGCACTGTACATAAACACACTTCAACCAAGTCATGCAGTACTGTACATGTGCAACGGTTATGTAGCTCAGTGTGTTGAATATATTATGATTCTAGTTTATTTTAATATTAAAATGTTGCTGAGACAATGCTGTATACTGCAGAATTGTAGGCATGATGATTGCAATGTATTTTATATTTGTAAATACTTTGTGCTAACAGAGGAGCATGTTCTGTATCTACTGTATTTCTTGTAATGTTTATTAAACTCTGCCTGCTCTTCTCCTCCCAGCTGAGTTCCACTTCCTGTGTCCAAATGGGCAAGGTCTCTATTATGATGAAGGACTCCTGTACAGCTTGCCCGCCTACCATGGTAGATATTATACGACTAACTATATTCACATACACCAGGGCTACACAGTGATAAGATGTTCCTGCATTTGCACTTAAATTCTGTGTTAATATAGAACATGTAATTTAGAAATGATTATAGTTGCACCCGAGTTAAAGAACATTTGTAGTCACTTAGGACTGGTATGCGTCCTCATTACGTCAAACAACATTATGGCAATTGCCACTCTGTTATTGAGAAGAAACGTGTGCTTCCTTGTCTGCAGACATCGACGAGTGTTCTTTGTTTGCTGATGAAATCTGCAAGAAGGGTCGATGTGAGAACACGCTGCCGGGCTACGAGTGCTACTGTCAGCAGGGCTTCTACTATGACAGTAACCTTCTCGAGTGCATTGGTAGGTGCTTAGATGCACTCTATAAAATGGCACCGCAAAAGATTATTACAACAAATTCTGTGAAAGTTCTGTCTGACATTCGTAAAGGCAGATCAGTTTTGAAGATGCTTTATAACATATTCATTTTGTTCCTTCAGATGTGAACGAATGCCACGACGAGTCTCTGTGTACTAATGGTCAGTGCGTCAACACCGAAGGGTCCTTCTACTGCAACTGTAACCGGCCCTGGACTCCAGACTCCAACAAGAAGAAGTGTGTGATGGCAACAATAGCAGGTGAGTGAAATAGTATCTCCTCCCAGTGACCCTGACAGCTTAATCGTTTATCTGGAGGAATTACTTTGAGCGTTGAGTAAACCTTGTTGTTCTTTGTTCTTGTTGTCATTTATGCTTTTTCAGATGTGAATGAATGTGAGGACCCAGCCAACTGTAAGAATGGCCATTGTGTGGACACTCCAGGGTCATACTACTGCATCTGCTCTCCGCCCTGGACTCTGGCCACTGACCGTAACAGTTGTGTGACTCCTGAGGAGCAGGCTGGTGAGTGCAGACCTTCCACAGTGGGGAGGTTATAAAGAGCAACAAGGCAGTTGTGGGCCACAGCAGCTTATTCTGTCAAAGGCAAAACAAAGAAACATAGTGTTGGCTGTCTTCGCTTGTGGGAGGGAGTATATGTGAGAAAAACTGATTTCTAAGCCAAGTTGAACGAAGGTGAGGGAATCTACTAACCTTTTTGTAGATGTCATTGTTCTAAACAGAGGCAAGAACAGACATCATATTGAGCAGACAGATCACACATTATGCCCATAATGTTTTTTAACTACAGTTAAAGATGTTCACAAATTATGTGAGCATGCTGAATCAGTTTCTATATAAGTGTTTTTCTCAACATCTATGTGGCACAAGAGGGTTTACTTTAACTTATATAACTTATTTAACTATACTTGAACTGATATTGTTAGTATTGTAGAAACATCCTGAGATAAACCACACAAACAGCACAAAGTGAAAAAAATACAGTACTGTGCAAAGGTTTTAGGCAGATGTGGAAAAAATTCTGGAAAGTAAGAATGCTTTTGAAAATAGATTATATTTGTCAGTTAAGAATAAGAATAAAAATCTAAATCAAATCAGTATTTTTACAGCATCAGTTTTTCTAGCTACTCTTGCACAAAGTCAGTGATTTTGTAGGAATATCATCAGGTGTATGATTAAACAGGCATACCATACAGGTGCTAATGATCATAAATTATGTAGGTTGAGACATTAACTGAAACAGAAACAGCTGTGTAGGAGGAATAGAACTGGGTGAGGAACAGCTAAACTCAACTAACAAGTTGAGGTTACTATAGACTGTTTTCTTTTGCCAAAGGGCTGGAGAGCAGTACTAAGTGAGTGTCTGCAGGCAACAGACACTCAGGTTCCTTGCAATTCTGGAGCTGCATTTCTGCAAACAGAGTTGAGGATTTGCTCAGAATTAATGGTCTCCTCAATGCTGAAAAGTGCAGGCAGACACATTATGTATCATGCAGTACCATCCGGCAGGCATGACTGGTCCCAAATGTATTCTGTAGCATGACAAGAACCCCAAATATGCAGTGAAAGTTAATAAAAACATTATGGTATGGCCCCCACAGAGCCCTGATCTCAACATCATTGAGGCTGTCTGGGATTACATGAAGAGAGAGAAGGAACTGAGGCTGCCTAAATCCACAGAAGAACTGTGGATAGTTCTCCAAAATGTTTAGGCCAACCTACCTGCCAAGTTCCTTCACAAACTATGTGTACCTACAATTGAAGAATTGATGGTGTTTTGAAGGCAAAGGGTTGCCACACCAAATATTGATTTGATTTAGATTTTTCTTTTCTTCACTCACTTTGCATTTTGTTATTTGGTAAATAGAATATATTAACATGTCTATTTTTTTTAAAGCATTCTTACTTTACAGCATTTTATCCACACCTGCCTAAAACTTTTAAATAGTACTGTACATTTCTTGTGCTGTCTAAGGTACACCAATTGAGAAAGCCTTGTATAACAATCTATAATGAATAAACAAATACACATTTAAGACATGTATCCATACATACAGTAAATCCATGTACATTTTGTACATGTGATGGTAAAAAAAATAGTTGTTGTGTGTGTACGCAGCTCAGTGCTCATATTTGTTTTAGCTGTAATAAACATATAGAAGTGCTGAAATGAAGTAGTGGTGTTAAAATATCACATTTATACCACACCACAGAGTTTCTCTGGCTTTATTAAGGCTTACATAATGACCTAATTACAAAACCTAATACAACTTACAGTAAGTAAATATTATTAGTGTTATTTATTTCAAGTGCCGCTTGAATTGCTGGTGCATCAGTTGCAAACGTTATTAATATTGTGCAGTTTTCCTGGCCAAACACCATGTTGGGAGAAAAATGTGTAGTTGTTTCATAAAACCGGACGCCAGTGTTTTGGTTGTATTGATGAAGAGGATCTGAACCAATCACAACCTGATACTGAGTTGCATTAGATACCAAATGGGCCACATTGGAATGAACTTTTTGGGGACATGCAGTGAAATTGTCCCCTGTTTAAAGAAAGGAAGGTTACATCCACCGTACTCGCAGAAGCAAATGCAGTGAGGAATGAGTATTGAGCAGCTATGAAGGACAAATTTTAAATGACCATGCCATGACCATGTTGCTACAAATGTGGTGAACTCTTATTCCCATTACACTCAGAATGGGAGCTGTGTTTGCATTCTTGCTGTTAGGCCACACATGTTGACAGAGGGCTCTGGACTACAGCATGTGTGTCCTTGTCAAATCTTTCGTTTGTCATATTTATTGACAAACCTGAGCCAAGTTCTGGTTTGGTGATCGTGCGGTGCAACTGCTGTTGTTTGTAGATGATGCTGTCCTTTTAGTTTGTGGACATTAATGTTAGCAGTTTGCAGATGAGTATGGCACTGTTGGGACACAAATCTGTGCCTCCAAGTTTGAGACTGTGGTTCTCTTCCTCAAAGGAGAGCATTCCTCAATCCAGGTGACAGGGGAAGACAAGCCCAAAGTGGAATAGTTGCTGTGGCTGTAACAATGGCGACATTTTAGCTGGCTTTGATGTTGATGACAGATTGACTCCAGTGTGGATAGAAGCAGCCATTATGTGGCTGAGATTCAGAGTGACCTTCGTGTCAAGCTGTAGCATATTGGCATTGAAAGGAGCCACTTGAGGTGGTCTGAGCACCTCATTTTGTCAGCATTCAGACACGACTGAAATGGAAGAGTAGCAAACACGAAAGCTGTCAGATCACATCTCTCCTCTGACCAGTTATTTCGTGATAATTCTTAAGTTCTTTAGAATACAAAGTATGGATGGCTCTGGTCTCCGTGTTATTACTACAACCATGAAATTAATAAATGACTAGAACATGGATAGGTGGATGTAAAATGATGATCTTAAAACCAACTTACTTGAACATTTCTTTATTCAAGGAAAGTTGTTCTTTATCAGAACAACTAAGAGACTGCAAAACTGGCTATATGATTGGTAACGCTCTAATAAATCATCTTATGTATGCCGATGATTTGGCTATTGTTTCTCCTAGCAGTGCTAGATTTCAACAGTTGCTGAATATACAGTATGTTCTGATTATGGGGTCAAATATGATGTGCAGTACAATGCTAAGAAGAGTGTTGTCATGATATGCAGAACGAAAGGGGATAAACTTCCCAGTTTTCTATCTGTCACGGCAAGTGCTAAGTATTTGTAATAAAAGAAAATACCTGGGGCACTTCCTCAGATCAATTGTCTGATGATGATGATGATGATGACATGTATAGGCGGTGTCATTTTAAACTTTAAATGTGTTCAACGTCAACAACGTTAACATAAGGCTCATTAAAGCATATTGCACTCCTCTCTGTACTGTTCCAATGTGAGCCAAGTTTAAAAAGACAACCATACATAAGCTTCAAGTGCCTATAGTAACTGTATGCAGAAAAACCTAGGTGGTGTAGTGCAAGTGACTTGTTTTGTAAGGCAAGAGTCAACACTTTCCCGGCTCTGCTGAGAAATCTGATGTACAAATTTATCTGTCGACTGGATGGCTCTCAGAACGGCATTATTAAGCTGTTCACAAATCCTAGTAATAGTGTTGTACGATACCAGTATCTGTGGAAGCATTTTTTCTGTGTTTTTGTATTTGTGCTTTGGTATTTTAGGAGGTGTTGTGTGTTTTTCTAATGGACCCCGAGTCTGACAATAAAGTTGAACTGAACTGAACACATGCCATTGATCTATTAATCTGAGAAGGCATTTGGTCTGGTCTATCTTGACAATAACTGCACTCATCACAAAGTCCTCTGTACTTATGCTGTGAACCTTCTATTATTATTCAATCTAATCACATTTGAAGTTGGGTTGCAAGTTTTAGGGGTTGAATGGATATAATTATGGCTTTTCCTGTCATGGACTGGATTTTGAACAGTTGGATTTACAAAACTGTTACAGAGTACAGTACAAAACCCGGGAGATCGCTATTCTGAACATGAACGTGAACAGAACATGCCTTCTGAATGCGCCCTCATTCTTATGGTTTCAGTCAAGCTTCAAGAAAAAAAAGAAATAAGTAAAATTAGAAACTTGCTGCACCCACATCACAGTACAAGCTGGCCTACATGGCAGTATCATTTTCTCTGCAAATTGCCTACAAATGTCTCGGCAGATTCCTGGACGTGTTGCTGGAACCAAGCTTCCTGTTTTAACCTGCAGCCTTTTGGCAGATATTGCAGTGAGGTTGCATGTTCACTAGAGACCAACTGCAGTATTATGCATGACCAAAGCTAATTTTGTCATAAGCAGAACCTTGCATGCAACATTTATGGTAGAAACGTAAAACAGAAAGCAAACGGGACATACAGGGGGTGGACACAATAACAAATACCCACTGTACACTGTTATCCAAACCAATACAATATCACTGCAATGAATGCAGCATCAGAATCTTAAAATGTTCAGTTTTTGTTGAGATTGTGTCAGAGTTGATTCAACTCTCTGCAACTTGTTGAAGCTGGCTGGCACTGGTAAACAAAGGAGGTTGGCTCAGTAATCAAGTGCAATTCAAAAACATTGCACACTACAATCAGCACAGAGTTGAATCAATGTATTTTTGACACAGTCTCAGAAAAAACAGCGAACTTCACAAAGGAAGTATTTATTGCAGGATTATTGTACTGAATTTCATGATGTAGCATTTTTTTTAATTATGTCCACTACCTACAGACTAAGAGCTGGCCCCAAGCAGATGTTCATACTGTAACCAGTGTCTGTGGTGCCCTTTGCAGATGTGAATGAGTGCCAGGACCCCTCGTACTGTAAGAATGGGAGGTGTGAGAACACGCCCGGCTCCTTTCACTGTTTTTGCGACCCTCCCCTCACCTTCAGTGCAGCGCTGAAACAGTGCGTCTATGACGGTGGGTAAAATCAGCGTCAGCTCACCTGAGCATGACCGTTCAAAATGAGTTTTGGCTTACGTCGACATCTGCCGCTCATGTTCCTCTTTGTAATTCCTCCAAATTTGTGTCCCATCTAGCCTGTTCTGGCTTTATATAATACTATTTCCCCTCCTACGCACTTTATAGAGACAGTTTCCCATTCTTGGAGAAATACCACTTTGTGTAGGTATCAAGCATACATATCGAATGTACTCATTTATGCTCACAAAGCAACATCAGATTATGTTCAGTGTGAGAAAAAGTGATTACGTTTAGTATTTTCTCTGCATGTCTATTTTTCCCAAACCAATTTGTGTCTCTTTTGTCTGTGTTATTATAGAGGATAAAACTCATTTGTTCCGGTAGAGAAAAGACAGACTCAGCATTTGAAAACTGATCATTTAGTGGAGAATGACCTGAGCTCACTAGTTATAATTTTTCACATAAGATATTTGATTCACTGTACTCAGTGTTTTCGATGCCAGTGGACAGCCTTTTTTTTTTTTTTTTTCACACCTGAGTATGGATGGTTTAATATCTGTAATACATACTATAGGACTGTTTAAGTGTGACACATTTGAACAAGCAGACAAAACATGACTTTAAACACTATTAAACTCTATCTACACAATTATAGAAGACAAGGAAGCGTACCGATCCATAAGTAATGGAGCTGTAACAATAAGCTGTTTGCTTAATGGAAGTAAACTGAGCATATCTTTATCATCACTGCAACACATGTAGCCACTATCATTTAATATGACATTGTTTTTTGGAAGTTTGGTAACTTTAACATTTGTTTGTAGATTTAAATAGTTGAAAGTGTAAATAAATAGTTTAATCTATTAGAGCATATTAGCTTCATGATCAGATCTCCATACTGTACAAACAATATAAGATTTTTCTTTTGCTGTATCTATGACTTACAGTGGGGGAAAAAAATGTATGACATACAGCAGGCAAGCTGAAAAGTGTTATTGCTACAGTAAGCTGTGCAGGTACCCAATGTATTATGAGATGGACTAATTTCTACACTTTGGCTGCTACCCCTAATAATAAGTGTGTACAGAGAGTAAATGGATGGGTACATTTTGTGCACTTACTTGCACTCAACAACATTTATTGAGATATTCTAACATGTGATCAACATCTGTCATCTTTAAGTAGATTGTGGGTGTCACAAACAATGTGAACTGATGTAAAGATTTTCCTCCAAGCCAAATGCTGTATATATTTTGAAGCGTTATTATTATAAAAATCTGAATTTCTCCCTTCACATGCTGAATACACCTGAAATAACATTTATGCTTAAAGTTACAAATTAGCATACAGTATAATTTTTGTGTGTGGGCATCTTCCACTGGCTGGCATACAACTGTTTTACTAATCTTAGAGCTCAGGACGGGCTGATTGTGGCTTCCTGTACATAAACTATTTACTGTAACACACATGGAAAGAACCTTTATTTAAATATGATAGTGCCTGAATTTTCTTACACTTTATCTTCAATTGTTTGTTTTTTATCCTCCTTTCTTTTACCCAGATCGCACTGCAGCCCACAAGGATGTGTGTTTCCTGCAGGTTGACGAGGGCTTGATCTGCAGCGAGCCCAGGAACGGCATGGTGGTGACCTACTCAGAGTGCTGCTGTCACTTTGGTCGTGGCTGGGGGCCCGAGTGTAACACCTGTCCACCCAGAAACTCAGGTGAGCAAACTGAAGACCCGACTGGCCTCTCAAGGCTACTACCAGCTACTAGTTTTACTTTCTTTAGAGCTAAAACAACATTTATTCCTTTTGTTCAGAGATGTTCAGTCGTCTTTGTGAGATGCATCTGGAGACTGAGTCTGATGGGGAGCAGGATTTCTTGGCAGCTTTCGCCAACTACAACCCAGGTAAAACCGTGGACCATCTTTCAATATACAATCGTATGTCATACACGCTCATCTATTTTCCCCAACTCACTGTTATTTTCTAATCTCTTTCTGTACCATATTTCCTCTCTTCCCCGGCCTGTTTGTCTGTAAAAGGTGACAGTTCAGAGGAGGATTCGGATGAATGCAGCTGCGCAAATGGCCGCTGTGTCCGCTCCTACCTAGGCACGATGTGTGAATGTAACACAGGCTTTAGGCTGGACCACTCCCGTACCCGCTGTATAGGTTTGTACTAGTTTTACAAAAATACTTTCATTGTTGTTTGCCCAATTTCTTTCTTTTTTTTTACAGCTTACACTCATTGATAAGATCTTGTGGGGTTTTTTTTTCAGACATTGATGAGTGCGCAGAACCAGGAGGTCGTGTCAGTCCATGCAAGAACGCTCGCTGTGTGAACACTGCTGGCTCATACAAGTGCTTCTGCAAACACGGCTTTATGGCCACACGCAGGGCAAACATATGTGTCCGTCGCAGAACTCGGTAACCTCTGTGTGTCACTCTGTTTAAGCCCCATCTACAGTATGCAACAGGCCCGCACACGCCGTCACACAGGGACTGTGTGCACCGCAAAAACATGGGTGCTCATCAGGAGCCAAATCATAACAATGGCTCGTATGAAATGTACAAATCATATCATTGTCAGCTCCTCTTTCACTTCCCATTTCACATTTAAAGAAATAATCAATACAGACAATGAATATGTTTGTTTGTTTGTTAAAGATTTTTGTAATTATTGTTTAACTGTTTTTTAGTTATTACGTTTCGATCTCATTATCGATCTCTCTGTCACATTGATCTTTCATTCTTAATTTGAACATCTGATCTAAAACCCCCTTTTCTTTTAATAAGGAAATGTGTTTTAAAGATCTGTCTGGTATTCCTTCAGCCCATTCAATAGTTGTGTACTATAGGAATGCCAGGAGAACTTTACATTCCCATTTAAGTCCAGTTTTTAATTCTAAATTGACATCACCTGAATTGTATTTTAAAACCACACATTGTTAATTTTGTGTTATTGTACAGTTTGTCCGATGGATCAACAGTTTTTGTAAGAATGGTCCCGTTTATTTGTTGATGTAAAATATGAGAAACCTGAAGTTTTTGTATAATTTGACATGTGCACCTAAGTGAACTATTAAGCTTAAAAAAAGAAAAAAGGTCATGCACTTAGCAAAGAAGAATTTGCTAAACGTAGCTTGTTCCGGAAAACATCTGTTGTCATGATTGCTGTATCAAAGTGTTTAGAAAACCAAAGACGCTGTTGAAAAAAGAAGAATTTAATTAAAAAAGAAGATGTCGACCAATTATGGAGTTGTTTTTCATTCAGACTTCACATACAGTATGGGGAGACTGCACTGTGGATGATTCAGTGTTGATTTTCAAGCACTCCTAGAAAGCAAATAAACCCAGCACATGGCAGGGTCTCCACAAGTCTTCCATCAGGTTTGCTTCTGTACTATTTTGCTTGTTACTTAAATGCACAAATCTGCAACAGTCATAAACTTATTGAATTTAACACATTTTGGTTTCACATTTTGCAGCATAAAGCAGCCCTTTGTTTTGTTTTTATTTTAGGGTTCATAAACAGAAATGTTAGTATTAAAATGGAAATGTGGTGTTGTTTCAGTGCTGCAAATAGTTATTTTCCTGGAGATGTTTGTGCTACTGACTGCTTCCAAGTTGTTGATGTAATCCTCTTAGAGCCCACAGATTCTCTAAGATGTCTTTGATGACCAAATTTTACTAACTAATTTATCTCATGACTGACAAACTAGTCCCAATAGTATGCTAATATACTCTAGATCCCCTTGGGGCGAAGAATACAATGTATTGAATAATCTGAGTTTATTTTGATGAGAATCTTAATCTTGACTCCCTCACGAGTTTTGTTCATATCTGTTTACCACTTTAGAGAAATCTCCAGATTTCAATTACCCCTTTCTTGTAATGACTTCCACAATTTGACATGCTTTTATCTCCCTCCTACATTCTGCGCTGTCCATTTTACTTTTCTCTGCCAGAGAGGTGGCTTCAGGTAACTCACAGAATCCATAATTTCCTGAAAATAACTATGAAATTTGCCTTCCAATTAATTCTGATTAATTGCAAGTGTAACCCAGAAAGTGTTTTGATGTGATGAATAATGAATGATTGACTTGCGTTTAATTGAGCAGTTCTCTACCCAGCCTTGATCAAAAAGACAGAACAGCCAAATGAATAACAGTTGTAACTGATTGTATGAAACAGTAACTGAGGGACTTGCATAAAAAAGAACAATAAAGCAATAAGAAGCTGTAGTTCAACATGTTTACTTTTAATTTGGCTTCTTCAGACAAGAAAAAGCTCAAATTGCCAGACTGAGCAAACAACAGTTAGAAAATAAGAGGAATATGTCAACTTAAAACAAAATACTAATACAGTGAATATGTGAGCGTAGATAGCTCACAGATTATAAATGAAGAACAGTACCATCTTGTGGCCTCTTTGTCTAAAAGTTATATATATATATATAAAGCCCATACTTATGGCAGATGTTCCTGTACACTATGCCAGCTAACTGGTTATGGCATTCCATGTACGCACTTCCTGCCTGCATCTTACACCCTGCTGTTATGTGCTGTACTGTCTCAGGGGCATCCTTGCACAGTCTGCACCTGGGGTCCTGCCTCTATTGATCTTGTACTGAGTGCCTGTTCTTGAACCACCATGATTAGTGCTTCTGTGCTGTTCTTTAGTCCAGCCTTTTCCAGCCACTGGTAGGCTTTCTTGATATCAGCCACTTCTTCTATTTGTCTGTGGTACATGCCGTGCAGCGACTTGTCTCTCCATGAAGGTTCTTCGTCTTCCTTATCCTCACCCTTGGGTTTCTGCTGCCCTTGATCTTTGGGGGCCATCTTCCTGATGTACTCCTGGATCTTTGTTGTTTCATCCTGGACAGTGGTCTTGACACTCACTAGCCCTCGGCCTCCCTCGTTACACTTGGTGTACAGTCTCAGGGTGCTGGATTTGGGGTGAAAACCCTCCATGCATTGTGAGGAGCTTTTCTTGTCTTGATGTCAGTGGCCTCTACCTCCTCCTTTGACCAGGGTATCTGATGACTGGCAGGGCGTATGTGTTGATGGCTCGGATCTTGTTTTTCCCATTCAGCTGACTTTTCAGGACCTCCCTTACTCTCTGTAGGTATTTGGCTGTGGCGGACTTCCTTGCTGCCTCCTCATGGTTTCTGAACATCTGCAATTTTTGCCTTTTGGTAGTTCAATCCCCTTGGTTCTGATCATTTTCCCTCTTTTTGATACCCTGCGATCACACTTGTCCAGTCCGAACGACATTCCAGTGGTTCCAGAGGTGACTGATGGTTGTTCCACTTTGGAATCAGTATCCGTAGCCAGTCTTTGTGATGATCTGGCTGAGGGTTTCAGGCCTATGCAGAACAGCAACAGGGATAGTGCATCACCTTGGTATATGCTGGACTTGATGGTGATTTGTGCAATTGGCTTTGAGTTGGCTTCCAGACTTGTTTTCCACAGCCCACAGAGTTTTTGATGAAAGCTATTAGTGTCCTGTTGATCTTGTACATTTCCAAGCATTCCAGTATCCATGTATGTGGCATTGAGTTGTAGGCTTTCTTGTAGTCAATCCAGGCGGTGCACAGATTGGTCTGCCTGGTCTTGCAGTCTCGAGTGACTGCTCTGTCAACCAGTTGCTGGTCCTTGGCTCCCTGCCCATTCCCTTCTGGGCCCTGTCCATGTATTGAGCCATGTGCCTTCTCATCTTAGCCGCTATGATGCCTGACAGGAGCTTCCATGTTGTGCAGAGGCAGGTTATTGGTCGGTAGTTGGATGGGATTGTTCCCTTCTGGGGATCCTTCATGATCAGGACTGTCCGTCCTTGGGTTAACCATTCTGGGGGGGTCCCATCCGTCAGCAGTTGGTTCATTTGTGCTGCCAGGCTTTCATGGAGTGCAGTTAGTTTCTTCAGCCAGTAGGTGTGGATCATGTCAGGGCCTGGTGCTGTCCAGCTCTTCATACCATCCACTCTTTCTTGGATATCTGCCGTTGTAATGGTTACTGGATCTTGTTCTGGGAGATTGCTGTGATCTGTTCTTAGATCCACTAGCCACTGAGCACTGGTGTTGTGGGATGCCTCTTTCTTCCACATATTCTTCCAGTACTGTTCAGTCTCAGCCCTGGGTGGATCTGATTTTGTGTTATTACCCTGCCACTGAGAGTACACTTTGGATGGTTCAGTGGAGAACATCCGGTTTATTCTCCTGGCTTCAGCTTCTGCCTTGTATCTCTTTAGGTGGGTAGCTAGAGCAGTAAGTCTTTGTTTTTGGCAGTCTCCAGAGCCTCAGGTATTGACAACTTGTTGTATTTCTTAGGTAGCCCCTTCCTTGTACCTTTCTGTAGCTCTGATAGCTGACTAATCAATCTTCGTGTTGCCTTGATCTTGGTCTCTAGCCTTCTCCTCCATGAGGGGTAATGCTCTTTGTGGCTTGTGGTGTTCATCTTATAGCCAAGCATCTCTAGGATCACTGTTGCTGTGGCATACATCAGCTCATTGGTCTCAGTTATGGATATAGTAGGGATAGTATGTAGTACTGCATTCACATCTTCTAGCAGACTTTCAGAGGGTACTGTGTCACTTATCCTGGGCAATCTTGGTCGTTGTACTTCTGGGTCCAGCTTGGTTATGATCTTCAATCGTAGGTCAGTCGCCCTTATGTTGAGTGATTCTGTGATGTAAGGGCTTGTTGTTGTTGGGGCTTGTGACCCAATCTCTGAGTGTGGGGATGATGATGACATCTCCCCGCTGACCTGTCGTCCTGGCTCTCAGTTGCCGAAGCATATTTGTTTTACCTCATTAATCTCTAGTTGTGATAGGAGTTGCCGTTTGCGAATGTTAGACGGACCTAGGATTTGTTTCTTTGTCAGTGTTGATGTTGGGTTTCGAAGCATCCATATATCCCACAGTCTCTGCACATAACCCCTCTCACCGGGATTGCTTGTTAGTAGCATTGCATCAGATCCATATTTTCTGCTCTAGTCCATGAATGTTTTGTTCCAGTAGCCCATTTATCATGTTGCCCTGGTTCCCCAGCTCCTGATGCGGACCTTGTTAACCCGGGTGACGTCCGAGCCGGTATGGCTCCTGTATTTGCAGTTTCAGTAATGCCTGAGGAAGTAGCATTAAGGACCTTGCCTAAGGGTCCACCTGGATGACCAGGAATCGAACCCACGATCACCTGTACCAAAGTCAGTTGCATTATATATATATATAGGGTGGGTTGTTCTTCAGTATTGTGATGCCAATGAGGCCAGTTGGGTCTTTCTATTGGTCCTGTCTGTGTTAGAGGCCACCATGTGCAGGCCCAGGTGTTCTTTAAGGACTATAAGTGAGTGCCCATGTGGTGCCACCCATTTGCAAAGTTCATAATATACTGACATGCAAGCATTTTTATGCACTTCATTTTGTCCACAAGTGGAGGATTAATTTGTGGTGGTTGACCCCTGCATCTGGATGGTCATGTGCTGGTGGAGCAGTGACATTTTCACAATCAAAATGTCACTCCAACTTCCAAGTACAGTGATTTGTTTGTATAATTTTTTTTCTATATATAGGAGTTATTTCAAACGGTGTTATATGAAATCACCCTCACAAACAAGCAAATATTATTTTATTTTCATCCTAAATATTTTTAATTTCTTATTTCTTATACTACTACTGTTTTTCAAAGATAAATTCAGATACAAATTCAAATACAAATTCAAATACAAATTCAAATACAAATTCAAATTACATAAGGACAATTAATTTCATACATTTCATTAGATAAGGAAATAAAACAGCAAAAGTTGTGTTTGTGTGTGTTAATACAAAATAAAAATAATGATAATTTAAAAAATCAGCTGTTATTGACTTTATTCATTTCCAACATGTTCTTGATATCATGATGACCTAACTCTTTGGCATTTTACTTAACATCATATTTATTTGTTGCTATAAAATTAAAGTTTTTAATTTTAGCAATGATTGATAAGAAATCAATCTGATTTCCTTCATTTCTGTCTTTCTGTCTGTAGGCTGAATATGTTATTATTTACTCTTTAATGTTTACTAAAATAATGGTGTAGGCCTTTATAAATTGCACTAATATCACCAGTAAAAAGCCTCAAATGAGTAAAGATATAGAAACAATATTTCAGGCAGAAATTAACCAGCTAAAATGCTTTTACAGTTATTTCAGAATTAATAAACTATGAGAAATAGAGAGATGGTATATTTAGGTTGAGTTCATTTTTAAAAAGTAGTATACAAAACCCGCATGTACCCATAAAGAGCTTTTACTGTATGAAACAATGCTGAGATGTGTGTGACAGAACATCGTCATGATTAGAATGTTTAGTCAGGAGATTCAGTTAAACATAAACAAACTCATTCAGTGTTTTTTGAATTTCAAAATTTACAATTGACGGTTTTTCGAAAAAGACGAACTTCATCGACGACAATTGTTTCATCCTGACATCAACTGACTACCGACTGCCACAGACCAAAGCTGTTTCAGCATGGAAGATGTGAGATTTATTATTTTAAAATATCCACCTTGTTTTGTTATGTATTTTAACATTGAGACAGTCAAAAACCCTACAATTGTACAATGCATTTACATGATGCTGTGAAATGAAGCATGTTAAATGATTTTTAGGGTAAATCAATCAACTTTGACAGAAGTGTGACAAAGCTTTACTGTGTTAAGATAATAAGTAACACTAGGTTTGAACGAGAATAATTAAATGGTTGAACAAGTAGGCTATTAATAGCCTACAATACGCAAAAATAACCCCAAGACACATTTCAGCATCACATGTTTAAGACCATTTCCAATAGAAACATGCTTTTTAAGGATAATGTTAGGATATTCATGCATTTTCTCTTTTCCAGAAAAATGTTTCTCAGCTGAATAATTTAACAATTGACTGGGTAACCTTTTGAAGGAACCTATTTTATTTGACAATATCCCTTTCAGACAAAATAAGATTAATATAGCAACATGTTGCAAATTGATGTATAACAGGGGTTTATTTTCAGCTAAGGTAACTATGAGAAGATGCTTGGTGGTGCTCAAATGATGTAAGGTTAGCTGCAGTACCGGAGGCATGTAGTTTCAGGACCGCAATCCTAGGACTGGAACTGCATTTCTAGGACCCTTGTTTACTTTGATGCTGCCAGCTAGCCGGCTGCTAGCTATGTTACTCTTGATAGCCCCCCGAAGCCAATTACCCTTGCCACAACCATCACCGAGTGTGTGCCTAAACTTAACTTATTGATTATATGCATAACCCTACAGCTGTGCACATCAGCCTCACGGCTGTCGTGCTGGCAGACAGGGTTAACCGCCTTCGTGTTGCTGTGCATTAGCACCACCATTCCACTAGATGGCTATGCAGCAAAAGAACTACGGTCCTAGAACTGCGGTCCCAGGATTGCGGGGATCCTGAAACTGCAGCCTCCGGTACTGCAATTACATTAATATTGGCTCAAACAGATGGACATTGTTAAAACCATATTATCTTGTTGCTGTTTACATTCAACTTAGACACAAATTCAAAAAATGCTCTGCAGAATGTTGCCTGCCTAACTCTCTCTCTCTCAATTTTCAATTCAATTCAATTCAAATTAGCTTTATTGGCATGAATGTGTAACAACCATATTACCAAAGCATCATGTAAACAAGTAATTAAAGTGTATGTGTTTTTGTGTTAAAAAAATAAAAATATCTTAAAAAATAAAATAAAATAAATAAATGAAACGGTAACGTGTGTGTGTGTGTGTGTGTGTGTGTGTGTGTGTGTGTGTGTGAGTGAGTAAGTGAGTGAGTGTGTGTGTATGTTAAAAAAAATTAAAATACTTTAAAAATTAAAATAAAATAAATAGATCTAAATTTCTCTCTCTCTCTCTCTCCATATATATATATATATATATAATATATATGTATGTGTGTATATACACACACACACAAAACTTAGGCTATATGTAGTCATGTTTGGCATGAAGGAACTACAAACTTTTTGTTATACAACCTTGTGCTGTATAATGACAAATAAACAATCTTGTATCTTGTATAGCAAATAAGCTGAGATGTAGCCTATAAGCACTGCAATATTCTGCAAATACTGTTACAAATGACCAACAATTAATTAATCAAAGCAAACTGTATATAATCAGGCCACCCAGCAGATTATTTGGTGTTTTTTTATCCAAGGTAGTCTACAAGGTTGTTGTTTTTTTGTCATTATGCAGCACAGGGTTGTATAATGAAACAAAGTGTGTAGTCCCTTCATACTACACACGCAGATAAATTAACATACTGTATAATTAATTGTATATTAAAATATCATAACATATGAAATAAAATAAAATATTATAAAACAATATATACAGTTATTTATACCATACAAATATTATCTACATACGTAGACTCCCAGAACAGTCTGCAGTGCATTTTATCATCTTGTCTGACATTTGGGAAATGGTGTCCATTTTGTGAAGATGCTGCTTCTACAAGTGCAGCCGGTTACCATAGCAATTATTCTTCTAAAACTCAATATCCAACCAATCTAACCCTTCATCTGTTCATCATTTATTAGGCCTATTTTTAATATAATAAACATTATTATGCAGCCAGTAATTCAAACTCTGCAGTCTGGACATTCAGTCAGTGGGGTGTATACTCGTTGATTTGGTGATACAAAGTTAATCACAGTGTCCAAGTTTCCTTTAACATTACACCACCTATATACAGACAGTTGACCAGCTGCTTTTCAACAGTCCTACTGCAACAACAATTAGTTTTATACTTCATTTTACTGCACATGGTTCTAGAAATGTGTCAATGTGTGATCTAAATTTGGCTTTTACTTTTGAAGTGTTACTGGTGATAATAATTTAAATTTAAGGATGCAAGGACTTTTACCAGTAAGATGTTGTGGTAACAGTTGATGGTATGTTCATGTCACTTGCAGCAGAAGTTTAAAGGTTGTTTTTTTTTTTTCTGTCTTCAGATTCAGCGCTATACTTGGACTGCTGTTGTCTTACCAAACCCCAACCGGCCCGGCAGCCCAAGGTTCATACTTCGCAGGGTACTGGTACCAGCCTACTCTAGCAGCTCTTCTGCAAGCTCCTCACCTACCTCTTCCTTCTCTTCTTCCTCCTCTAGTTTTTCTCACTCATCCTGCAGCTCCTCTCCAAGCTCCTCACCTACCTCTTCCTATTCTTCTTCCTCATCTGGCTTTTCTCACTCATCCTGCAGCTCCTCTCCAAGCTCCTCACCTACCTCTTCCTATTCTTCTTCCTCATCTGGCTTTTCTCACTCATCCTGCAGCTCCTCTCCAAGCTCCTCGCCGAGCTCCTCGCCTACCTCTTCCTCCTCATCTTGTTGCGCTTCCCCAAGCTCTCCCCCTAGCCAGCCCCTTTCAGTGACAGAGGATGAAAACTGGACCTGTGAGGTATTCAATGATCAGAACAAGATCATCCTAAGAAAGGTGAAGACAACAAGCTGCACTCAGAGACCGGAGGTGCTCAGCTGTACAGCACGCCCCCCTACAACATCTCAGACCCACACCAAGCCTGCTGTGATCCCAACCGGCCCTAAACCCAAGTGGGTGAAGAACCTGCAGGCCATCATAAGGGAGAGAAACAAGCAGCGTGGCATCAGGGGATATAAGAGACCTGCTCGAAAGTCGGAATGTGACCCTCCAGGGAAGCGTTCTTACAACAAATAATTTAAAGTCATTTTAAAGGACCATGCACTGATGCAAATCATTTGCTTGTCACTGAACATGTGACTCTGGTCAGGGTGCCCGTCAGACTTGGGGATGATCTGGGGGGGATAGCGTGAACCTTCAACGTGTTATGCCCTCTTGGAGAAGCTCCTTTCTGGCAGATGAGAAAAGGATGCACACACCATGTCAAGAAGGTTCATATGTCTGTCTGCGCCCACCCTAGACCAACAATGGAGTCAACTGTGACCACAGGAGGACCACAGTGCATGGGTCAATAGTGATTTAAGTTGATGTGCTGTGATGTTATGTGTGTAAATTTTAAGGACCATACGCTGATTATGGATTAATTCCTTGTCACTGAACATGTGACTCTGGTCAGGGTGCCCGTCAGACTTGGGGATGATCTGGGGGGGATAGCGTGAACCTTCAACGTGTTATGCCCTCTCGGAGAAGCTCCTTTCTGGCAGATGAGAAAAGGATGCACACACCATGTCAAGAAGGTTCATATGTCTGTCTGCGCCCACCCTAGACCAACAATGGAGTCAACTGTGACCACAGGAGGACCAAAGTGGATGGGTCAATAGTGATTTAAGTTGATATGCTGTGCTGTGATATGCTGTGCTGTGATATGCTGTGATATGCTGTGCTGTGCTGTGCTGTGATATGCTGTGCTGTGCTGTGATATGCTGTGCTGTGATATGCTGTGCTGTGCTGTGCTGTGCTGTGCTGTGCTGTGCTGTGCTGTGCTGTGCTGTGCTGTGAAATGATGTGATGTGATGTGATGCAAGCTCAGCAAAGAGCCAGTGCCCCTGAGCCAATTGAGATGGCTTCAGACATCTGATCAGGATGCCTTCTGGGCGCCTGGGTATCTCTTAGGAGATGGTAAACATTGCTGGGGAGAGCCCTGCTTGTTCTGCTGCTACCACGACCCGGCCCTAGTTAAGGGTAAGAAAACTGATGTATTGATGGATGCTGTGCTGTGCTGTTATGCAATGTGTCTCCAATGTGTTTCTTTCAAGCTCCTCTCTGGCAGATGAGAAAAGAAATTTTGGACAACAGCCCAGTGAAAAAATAGTAATGGTAAAAAATAGTTACAGGCTACTGTAATTAGAGTCCTGTGTAATTATCCTCAATACCAGGGGGTAACAAAATAAAGGAGGAGGACCAAAGTGGATGGGTCAATAGTGATTTAAGTTGATATGCTGTGCTGTGATATGCTGTGCTGTGCTGTGCTGTGATATGCTGTGCTGTGCTGTGCTGTGCTGTGCTGTGCTGTGATATGCTGTGATATGCTGTGCTGTGCTGTGCTGTGATATGCTGTGATATGCTGTGATATGCTGTGCTGTGCTGTGATATGCTGTGCTGTGCTGTGATATGCTGTGATATGCTGTGATATGCTGTGCTGTGATATGCTGTGATATGCTGTGATATGCTGTGCTGTGCTGTGATATGCTGTGCTGTGCTGTGCTGTGCTGTGCTGTGCTGTGCTGTGCTGTGCTGTGCTGTGCTGTGATATGCTGTGCTGTGATATGCTGTGATATGCTGTGATATGCTGTGCTGTGCTGTGCTGTGATATGCTGTGATATGCTGTGCTGTGCTGTGATATACTGTGCTGTGCTGTGATATGCTGTAATATGCTGTGATAAACTGTGATATGCTGTGCTGTGCTGTGCTGTGCTGTGCTGTGCTGTGCTGTGCTGTGATATGCTGTGCTGTGATATGCTGTGATATGCTGTGCTGTGCTGTGCTGTGCTGTGATATGCTGTGCTGTGATATGCTGTGATATGCTGTGATATGCTGTGCTGTGCTGTGATATGCTGTGCTGTGCTGTGCTGTGCTGTGCTGTGCTGTGCTGTGCTGTGCTGTGCTGTGCTGTGATATGCTGTGCTGTGATATGCTGTGATATGCTGTGATGTGCTGTGCTGTGCTGTGCTGTGCTGTGCTGTGCTGTGCTGTGCTGTGCTGTGCTGTGCTGTGATATGCTGTGCTGTGCTGTGATATGCTGTGATGTGCTGTGCTGTGATATGCTGTGCTGTGATATGCTGTGATATGCTGTGCTGTGATATGCTGTGCTGTGCTGTGCTGTGCTGTGCTGTGCTGTGCTGTGCTGTGCTGTGCTGTGCTGTGCTGTGCTGTGCTGTGCTGTGCTGTGCTGTGCTGTGCTGTGCTGTGCTGTGCTGTGCTGTGAAATGATGTGATGTGATGTGATGCAAGCTCAGCAAAGAGCCAGTGCCCCTGAGCCAATTGAGATGGCTTCAGACATCTGATCAGGATGCCTTCTGGGCGCCTGGGTATCTCTTAGGAGATGGTAAACATTGCTGGGGAGAGCCCTGCTTGTTCTGCTGCTACCACGACCCGGCCCTAGTTAAGGGTAAGAAAACTGATGTATTGATGGATGCTGTGCTGTGCTGTTATGCAATGTGTCTCCAATGTGTTTCTTTCAAGCTCCTCTCTGGCAGATGAGAAAAGAAATTTTGGACAACAGCCCAGTGAAAAAATAGTAATGGTAAAAAATAGTTACAGGCTACTGTAATTAGAGTCCTGTGTAATTATCCTCAATACCAGGGGGTAACAAAATAAAGGAGGTAAGTAAGATGAATCTTCCATGTAGCTCATCATAGTGGAATATGGGATGGGTTCATCCATTTGGTAAGAGCATCACCATGACATGATTGAGTCTCTTCGCAACATAATTGCCCTATGGTACAGCTGGAATATTAAAAGGTGAGTTTGATACAGAATTAATGCTTTTATATTGTTTATGCTCTTGGTCTAGTACACCATGAATGAAAATTTGATTTAATTATGTTTGATTGTTTTCTCTGAAGGACTTCAGAATCTAATACGAAAAGAAGACGCCTGAGGACCTCAATAGGACACACAAGATGCTGCACAGTCCCAGGATAACAACACAGATGAGTCAAACGAAGATGAGGGAACAGTTCCAAGACGAGTGGCAGGAGTCCAGCCACGCAGACATGCCTGTCACATTATGCTTTTAAACAAGTAGGTGGAGGGGGTTAGTTGTTTAAAAATACTACTAATATATGATGTCATGTTGTAACACATGTAATAGTAATTGTGGTTTGAGTTCAGGCAAATTGTATAATATCTTGATACACACATAAATGCACATCTCTATGTGTATTTGTCCAGTTAACCTTAGTGATGTTTGTTTGTTTCAGTGTGAGCATAAAGCTGCCAGAGGACCTGACTAAACACTCCATTCAAAGAGGCTGGGGATGGGCAACACTCGGGGCAGTGCCACTGACGCAGAAGAACATGTCTACAATATTTAGCACGATCAAAAAGAGTGCCTCAAATAAAAAGTCAAAATACGAAAAATATGTCTCTGTTTACGAAGTCTTTTTGTTTAACTTTGGGTTTGAGAATATGATATAACCCTAACAAATTAAGACCCTTTGCTCAAAAATGTGCAACATTGTGCCATCTGTACTCAGTGTTGTTATTCAGAATATGTATGACTTCTCAAAACGTTTACTGCTGTCATCACATTCTACTAATTTCAGATAATCAGAAAATCAGTCTTGTGTCTCAAAGTGATGAGTTGACTAAATGATCTGTATCAAAACAAAGCAGATGATGATAAAGATAGGTAACTGCTCACTGAATTTGTTCTCTACAGTCATAAGCCGTCGTTGTGGTGGTTTGAAATTAGTTCTGATGGTAATTGCATGGATAACTTCACAAGACATCAGACTTGACATTGATTTGCTGGAGACATAATAAACATCGACATTTATTTGTTATATTTATACACCTTTTTATATGTTGAAACTTTATGTTAGTACTGCACAAAACATGATTCCACACATAATGAACAAGCACTCCACTTCCTTTACTAGGGTTTTACTCCATTCAGTTTTTATATAATAACTAGCTTAGATTCCTGGGGCTTAGATTCCTCTACAACAGTGTTTCTCAAACTTTTTCACAGCACACATTCAAATGAAGTCAAATCAAATTTTTTATTTATGTAGCCCAGGATCACAAATCGCAAATCTGCCTTAGGGGGCTTTACAATCTGTATAGCACACGAAACCCTCTAGAAGAAATCTCAAGAAGAACAACAGAGGAGTGATCCCTCTTTCGGGATGGACAGACATGCAATAGATGAAGTTTTTATAAAAATTGAAAGGCAAGACTCAAGCATGCCATTCACACAGGTAGGAGAAAGAAACAGACAGCGGGGGGGGGAATTTCCTGGAGTGCAAAGATCCAGCTCCAAAACATCTGGAGAGAGGAAGCGAGAGACAGGGCAGAGAGACCTCTCGATAGGCACACAGCTGCTTGTGGGACACAAACAAACAGAGGGTTAAAGAGATCCAGTGGTTTACAGATGGTTTACAATATTCTTGTCGGCAGGGCAACTTGGGCTTAATAAATTCACTGAGACTGAAACCGACCTGTTGTAACAGTGACTGACTCAGGCTGGGAGCAGGGAAAAAAATCGAAAACACGTATTCATGCCTTTTGATTATCGACAAAAGCTAGCATAGACGACCGGTATTCTTGACTGCCCCAGGAAACTAAATTTCCGTGTAGAGTAACTTCGGCAATAGTTAATCACAAAGTTCTGTGTGCCCCTTTGGGTGCCCTGTAGGCCCTTGCGGTGATCCGTCCCTTCATCATGTTTTTTGTACACAGGGGTAACTTGGAGGGCACCTTACCACATTCCCTCACACAAAGGGGCATCCAAATATCAACATGGAGGTTATTGCAGTGGAAGGGGGGCCTGCAGCTATAGCAGATTTGTTTTAACTCTGGGGACAGACAGGAGCCCTGTATTCTGTTTCTGACTTGTCATAGCAGAAAAAAGCACTAATGGCTCCCTGTCTTGATTATGGCCCCATTCCAGCAATCAATTCAATGCAATGCTGCAATTAATGTTATTAGTTAACACCTGATTTTGACTGATCAAAATGTATATTTACTCCATATTTTGTCTGCTGGTAAAGCAACTGCTGCTGCTTAGATGAGCACAGAAAGAACTGGTTTGACGAGTTTGTGAAGGAAAAGTGAAGAAAAGTTTAATCTTGTACTCACCTGTCTCATACCTAAATTACTGTGACATAATTGTCCTTGATTGACCTAAACAACTTAACAAGCTATCACTTGCTTCTGTGCAAATGAATGACTTAAAAACATTTGGGCATCATCATCATGAACTGAAAGATCGTCATGCACACCACACTACAAAACAAAACACAAACTGGTGGTCTTGGTTCCTAACGATATCATGTAATGTTATAATTTATAATAGTTTTGTATCAACAAATAATCCCTAAACTCAGTTTAATTGAAGCCACTGTTAAGAAGATTTGCAGGGTGTCTCCCCTCTAGGCCGGCCTCCAACTTTCAGTGGAAGATCAAGTCACAGAAATAGCCCCCAGAAGTAAAAAGGAGAAAACAGATGAGGCTTCACTCCAGCTGAGACATCCATGAGTCACAACTCCACTGAGCTATTTATCTGTGTCTCCTTGAGCTGGGATTTGTTCATCGAACAGATATTTTATACTTGCTTTCTTTTTTGTGGTCAAAAAGAGATGTTTTTATTTCACTCACTCTTGGGTCATTGTATAGTTTATATTGTTTTGTGATATGTGTTGTTTGTGTTTATGTTCACACCTAAGTTTGGGGAATTAATTGTGACACTTTTCATGTGTTACATCAGCATTCTGTGTGAATGTTGTACAGCGCTTAACTTAGAATACTACAGTTACAAAACTCAGCTTTAATTCAGTGGAAGATAGTAAATGTAACTGTAACTCCTATATTTGCTTCTTTTGTCAAGATTAGAAAAAAACTGAAGCAGAATATTCACTATTACAAAGTACTGACTTTTAGACACCAGTGTACTTGCACAATTCATAAAACAACAAAGCATAAAAGCGATAAATTGCCTGTATTCGCAGCATGTTAGTGCATGACTGACATTAGAGGGATTTTGTCAACGAGGAGGGTGCAAGCCTGCCAAACAGCAAGCGTGAGATGTGAGAGACCATTTATCAACTATACACAAAAATGCTGCACTCTATTACATTGTCTTCTACAAAATACTAGCTGTTATCTGTTACACAATCTGTCCCCCAGGGACACTTAATATTTGTAAATCAAACAAGTCCTCAAGTCTTCAAAGTGCATCATTGCATTTATGAATTAAGAGGTTTTATTGCTTTAAATTGGCGTTTTCTAACAATCAGACATCTAACCAAACAGTTATCTGTTATGTAGTGTTATGTAGTGTGATATATTTAATTTATTCTGTCCTGCACTCACAAAAACAGATCTTCCCCTTTCTTTTAAATGGGACAGAAACAATCCACAAGATCTTCCATTAGAGGGAGCCAATGGTACATATATATAGTATAACTAGGTATCCACTATCTTCGTGTCTGCATAATGGTGTAGTCGGCTGTGGTGGAGAAATGGTAAGGCTTAAAACTTCTGATGTGTGTGGTCAAGGAAATTCTATGTCAATATACATAATCCCACTTCTCCTGCAATTCAGTAAATGCATATTTTGTGTTCATTTTATTTTATTTCGAAGATGTAGATGTTTTATTCATAAATGAAAAACAAATGCCTTTTACAATAAATTTGCCACACACACTTACAGATTGAGGATGTACACAGCTTAGGTTTCTTTATAACTAACAAGAGCCGTGATCTATCAATTCTTGTACAACAACTTTCACGACATGTCTCTGTCTTTTTAATTATTTAGGTACAGACATATCTATGTGCTCATACAGTTCTCATGAAGTCATAAAGCATTATCACTACACTGTGTTGTATATGTATTTTAGGATCACTCCCTGCACTGTAAATGTTCAAAAAAACAAAGTAGCCTCAATTCATTAATCTGAGTAAGATATTACAATTAAAATAATTTAAATACCCCCCCATGCATTATCATTAAAACAGGCCTGGACGCTCCCACAACAATGTTTCTGGCTTCTGCCTAATTAATTTATTGCTTTTTTGCATATTCACTTGTTAATTTTTTATATATTGATCATAAAGCACTGTGTGAGGCCTATTCTTAACTCTTATTTTATGTTGACTTGTCTGTGTTTTACATTGACTGTAAACACTTTGTTACCGTTATTGAAAAGTGCTAAACAAATAAAGTTATATTATTATTATTATTATTATTATTATTATTATTATGAACATAACAGTTCTGTAAAAGCAAAATGTTTGAATCCCACAGTATGAGGTGTAAATAATGTGCAATACTGTCTTTTATTCCCTTGTGCTGTAGAGATTCTGTAGATGTGCTTTGGATTGTCTGCTACACCTGTTGTGTTTTCTTTAAAACAAATTTTCCACCTGGAAGTGCTCTCAAGGAACATGTGAATGAAATCACAATGTTATCATGTGATGCAGAAATGTTAAGTGCATGTGAGACAGATTGTCTGCTGATTTGCACACCAAGCAATGGGTGTAATATAACTCACAAAGCTGTATGTCTCCCTCTATAGATGGTCCTCATCCGGTGAGCGCAGTGAGTCACGTTGCACCATAGTGGCACCAAACTCCTCACTGTCCTGGTTTCATTCTGTCGAATAATTATATAATTTTAAACTGGAACATCAGGGTGACCTCCAGCAACTAGTTTAGGGAGAAAGAGAGATAAGAAAAGAGATGGGAGAGAGAGAAAGAGAAAGAACCAAAACAGAAATAGCACAGTTGTCCTTGGGAGATGACTCAAAAAAGTGGTAGGGGGATATAAATATCTTTTAGTAGGTCGCATTGACCGGACTATAACCCACTACTACTGGTGACTGTGGACTGCAAACTTTCTTCTTTGTTTGTCAAATGCAGCTTCAGTTGGCTGGGGAAGTTTGGGGACAAACATGACCATACCATAGCAAGACTTGGATGATGTTGTGTAGTGACACATTTCACATCTGTCACTTGGTAAACACAGTCCCTGATAAGCAGCTGACATTTACAGAGCAGTCTCATGAAGACTGAGTTGAATGTATAGTTAGAACAGTCAGCGCATCTTTAAGTCAGCCATCTTGTCACTTCAGATCAATTCAGCCATCGACATCTCTGTGATTAGAATTGTTAATTGATTTAAGCCAATGCTGAACAAAAATGCAGCTATAAATAAAGTGTCACAAACAATTTAAACTATAGCTTCTCTTTGAGACAAATGAGAAGTGATGCTAATCTGCATTAGCAAAGAAAGATTTCCAGATTTGGAAGAAGAACTGCTATCAGGGCATCAGAGGTGTTGCTAATAAGGAAACAAACTCAGCAGGGAAGCCTTATAGGGAGGAAGTACATCTACTAAAATAAAGTAGCATGAAAAATGAATAATATCCTTTGAAACAGGGCTTAGATCCAAAGTACTAATAATAAATAAATCTCTGAAGTACAGTACACTTATTGGTGGTGCAACTGTAAAAGCTAGAGGAGGAACTGCAGGACTACTCCATGTTAGTGATTGTGATGCACCAGGTTATGTGTTTACTCTGCTGCTCCGGTTCACAGAGACCTGTTCTGATAGATCTGTAGCAGACTCCATTGTGCTTGTTTCAGCCTGTGTCTCTCCCTGCCTCAGACACATTATTTAAGGTCACCACAGAGACTCCCTCCATTACCCATGATTGGGCTCATGTGATCGAGCTTTAAAGTTGGGAATATCACACACACACATTCTGCTAAGGGGGGAAAATAGAACAGAGATCATGTCCACCCGGCTTTAAAGCTATACAGTCACACCAACTTTACCAAGCACAAGCTTCAAACTCCCTGGTCACTCCCTGGTCACTGCGCGCACTAATGATGACCCCACCCACCCAGGTCTCGTCTATAGTGAGCAGACAGAGGGGGGTTTTAGCTCAAACTGCTGCAATCTGCAGAAAGCACTGTGCTGGACACACTCTGGCAGCCAGTTGCAGCCTTATATCCTGCACTCAGCTCTTTCCCTTTGTCACGGTGGATTGTGGATGAGCTCTCTGCTGGGGTGTGGGTCTGTGAGCAAGGGTGGGGTCTGGAGCCGGGGGTGTAAACAGGTTGTGTGTGTGCCTGTCTGCGTGCTAGCAATGCTGACACACATACACACACCAGCCCCAGTTGCTTTCTTTTAGCCTTAAACACCACTGTACAGCATCTGGACAGTAGTGTTGTGTGTCTAACCCTTTGGGAAGTAAAATGTAAATCCACCTAAACTCAAGTTTTTCCAATTTAAAAAGGAGATTCTGTGTCTTTTAAAGGGTAGATTATCCATCCATCTACCGTCAACCGCTTATCCTGCGTACAGGGTCGCGGGGAGAGTAGATTGTAGTTTATAATTTTTTTGCTCAAATGTTTTGTAGAGTCATGCTTTAGAGGCTGCCAACAAGACAATATTGGATCAAACAATGAGACAATTACATAAAGAAAATGTCACATATGAATTAAAATCTCAATGAAGAGCAAATGGTAAATATAAGATTGAAGTCTATAAAAAATGTACATACAGCTATAAAAAATGTCACCTTATGTGGAAGGATAACGTTAATGGATATAATGACAAAGACTTAAAAGTCTGCACTTATGTGATGTTTCAACCAAATTTAATTAATAATTTACAAGAACAGAACCAGCAAATAGTTTCAACAATTGTGTTTCATGAGTGTTTGAAGCACTAACTGGCTGAATGTAGAAGAGAGCGGTTGTTACATACTTAATTAAACATGTAAGCCGTATGACAGTACAGGCAAGTCAACAATGTCCTTCAAATAAAAATCACAAAACTTCAGTTAACATTATGTAATTGAACACATTTGAAATATGTTATTCAACCTTAATCTGATCAGGGTTGTTCCTCTAAGAGCAATCCCCCCTTTTTAGGAATTCCCTGGTCACAGTTCACACACATGTAAACCGCACGTAACAACCATAATTTGATTTGTTAGAGCAGCATTGCTAGAGCATTTGGGGGTTAAGGGTCTTGCTCAAGAGCCACTCATCAGAGACAAGGTCTCATTTTATTTGCGTGTTAGCAAGCTTAAGCAATACTATCATAAATCTAACTTATATGGCTTGATCCTTGAATAATTATTTTCATCCAAACCAAATTCAGTGTGTGCGAGTCCAAACACTTACTGACCCATTACTTTGACTAATGGTGTTCTCTTTGAGGTACAAGGTCCTCTTTCAAACCAATGAAACTTTCCCTCAGCTCAGTTCAAACGTCCATCACTGAAATAAGTCTGTTGAGTCAGGTTCTTAGTGCAATACATTTTATTTGAGCAGTGACAAATTTGCTCAAATATGTTGATCGCGCAAATCAATAGCATCCATTGCAGCTGAAAAGATCCTACCCTCTGCGAGAGCTTAACACATTCACAGCAAAAATGCAACAAAAAACTGGAACTACACTAACAACACATCAGAGCCTTTTCATTACCACTAACTGCTTATAATGAGCAGCATGCTACTTTCCAAACTGCTCAGCCCTCCCTACGAGACCTGTCATCCCATAAAGCCCGTACCACTACCACTTTGTTGATTCAGCTACACCCATACTCACAAATACACACCCTGTAGAGAGACAGATGCAGTGCAGACAGAGAACACAAAGAGACAAAAATAATACGGTGTTTGGGTGCCTTTAGCCTACTTGGTGCCTGTCTACAGGCCACCAACATGAGTGAGTTCCTCGCTAGAGTCTGGATCTTTTTTAACTGCAATAACCATCAAATCACTGCTCACAATACTGTACCATGCAACAGAGAGAAAAACACAGGTGATAGGAATTGCTTATCCTGGTCTTGAGGTTCTCTTGCATGAGGATCTTCTGGGGCTTTATGAATAACCCAAATCTTGATGTCACACACTGACCAGGTGCCGCATAGTGTCTCAGGAATAATTTAGAGAAACAGCAGTTCTCAGAGATAAAATACTGAAGTGGATGGAGGAAAACCTGGAAGAAAAAGAAAGCAAGATTGTGTTGTAGGTTTTTGATTTCTAAAAGCAACATTTGACATAATAAGAAGTAATAATGTAAAAGTAAAATGTAATCCTGCAGTCTGATGAATGGATGTATCAGGCTACTGTGCATTTGTATAAACTACAAGGGACAATTAGGATACTGTTTTTAATTACATCGATGAGGTGAATCCAAGGAGAAGATTAGCATCCCATATTTCAGAATCAGCTTTATTTGCCAGGTATGTGTAGCCTACACATACAAGGAATTTGACTCTGGATTGTACATTGCTCATGATGTGCTTACTTATACAATAATGAAATCAGACACAGGGTACAGCATAGAGAACACATATATAACACACTATAAACAAAAACAATATAGACAGACAAACAATATATTTATTCCCCTTTTATAAATGCTCACCAGTTACAAAGAGCCAGATAATTTGTAAACCCCATGTAGCATGAAGGTGGTGCATTCAATGTAAGTTATAGGCGTATATATGTAGACTTTACTCATGAAATGCTGACTGCAAGGCTGCATATCATTTCTTGAAACACGATTTCAGAATGGTATGAGAGCGCGGAGGCGTTCCGTTTTAGCACCAGGGACAGCACCAGGTCGTCTTCTCTCGGCGTTGTGCGTTTATTGTTGAGAAAACCGAAAATGTGCACAGTGCTTCCCATGTGACTCTGAAGGGTCAGCACCCACCCCGCACCCACACACACCCACCCAGCACCACCACCCCCACGCACACCCCTAACTAACATCAACGCGTCCACTTTTTCTTTCTTCTCCCTGTTGAACGGGAGTACAGGGAGCGGGTGTGAGTGAGGTACGGACGGCCGCGGGGGGAAGAAGCTGCTGCGGATATCCGTCTCATACCTACCTGAAAACGGGCTCTTCTCGTCGCCTATTTTTTCCCCTTCCTCCCTGCTGACCGTTTTGCGTGAAAGATAGATTAAAAAAACCCAACAAAAACAAGCCTGGTTTGGGTTTCGTAACGCGCTGCACTGGTAGCAGCGCGGAGGAAAATATATTTTTTCCGAGGATGCGGATTTAACGGAAAGACATGATCTGTCTCACCTGGGATTTTTAACCGTTAAAATTCGAATTAGCTTAGTCGCGCGCCTCCGTAGCAAAGGAAGATATCGTTCATGTCTGGTGAAATATCGCACATACTGAGGCGGTAGTAATAATATCGACAGACACTGTAACAGAAGACAGAATAAAGGGGTAAGAGTGATTTATTTTTTGTCTTTCTATCCTCCACCGCCAGCAGGCAACCCCACTAATAACAAAGCTAACGTTAATGAGAGAGGGGTGTCTGATATTCAGGTGACTGCTGTTAGCTCGCCACTGCTAGTAGCTGTCCAAGCAAATAGATAACGTTATAGTATCGCATCTAATACCATTTTCTGAAACTCTTAAAGAGCTGCTGGTTAAAATAAACCGATGTTTCATTGTGCTGCCTGGCTGAGAAGTGTATCGTACTGCAACGCCTGATGTTAGTTATTGGGAACCATATCTGTGTCTCTTCTTGCCTTTGTTTGAATCGATGTCAAACGCAGCCACATTTTATCTGCGTGTTCTGTAACGTTATACAGCCAGCCTGTGGATCCTTGATTCAAACATCTGCTATTGTTAAACCAACCGAGCCTTGTTGCCTGCCTGCTAGCCAGGTTAAGATTGGTGTTAAACCAAGATGTGGTGTGTATATAAATGTGTGTGTGCTGCCATGGCTTGTAAAGCTGCAGCTTTTTCTTTCGACATTGTGGGCTGTGTGGTTATGTTATGATAGGACTGAGATTACTGCGTGCCTGGCCTGCACTGTGAGTCATAGCAGGGGATGGATCAGGTAAAAGTGTGTTAAAAGCTGAGCGTACCATCAAAATATCATTGAAAACAAAGGCCAGAAGAGAACAAGCTGTTTTGAAAAGTGTACGTTTGAACATGCCCATCGAGCATTTTATGGCAATAGCTCTTATTTTGATGAGAGCTGACATTTGCCGGCTACCACGTGTAGAAGAACCATTTTTCATGGCCCAGACATCAGCACATTAAAAAAGTCATCATGACATAAAAGAAAAGACATGAATGTGGATAATAATGAAAGGAACTTTAATTATCATTCTTGATGAGCCACTTGATATTTTTTGTATACATGATTGAGAGTACTTATTGATGATGGAGTGTTCTATTATAGGATGGTTCAAATAAATTTATTGGAAAAATCAGAGAAAGGGGGCTAAAAGGAAGACACACTAAAGGACAAAACTGTACAGTAGTCAAGGAGTCAATGGATAGTGGGAAGCCCCTCTTACGTGCAAAGGGCTGACCAACTGGTATCAGTGAAAAACATCTACATCGGTGGCATTTAACTGCTGTTCTTGGCTAGAACACGTTACAGCTGGTCAGTGAATGATTAGGTGTTTTTCAAGGACACTTTGGTAAGAGCAATGGCTGTTTTGTGTAAACCAAACCTATGGCCTCTCCATTACAGGATGGACATTACTATCCTGTCAGTGACTCTCAATCCTACACACCTCAGGTTTTCAGCCCACTTATATTCAGTGATTGATTTACACATTGATTGTAAGCTGAACGCAATAAATTGCAGCCAAAGGGTGGGATAGAAAGCCAGGGGTTCATTCTGTTAGGTTTTTAACCCCCCCCAGGAAATTGGTTTATATAAAAAACTAGATTTGACAAAATTATATCATTTCTAAATATAGGTACATGTCTAATAGACAGATATAGCAGACAACTGCATAAGCAATAGCATAAATTACTTGATTATTTTTAGCAATTACAATTATTTCACGGTTACCAAATGTTTATCACTTTCCTTTTATTTGTATACATTCATCATTTGTTCTGTTTAACTATTTCCCACTTGGATCCTTTGAATTCCCTATCTAATGTTTGCCTGATAGATCTATTTCATTTATTTCATTGATATTTATTATGGAGATATGCAGATACAATGTCAAAACTGTGATCTAAAACAACATATCGCTTTTGATTTAGTGATATTCTGTAGCTCAAATGTTGTCTTTTTCTGATATTAAGGGCTGTATTACAGCTAAAGATTTCCATAATTTCCATAAATGGATATTACTACCAATACTATGCTTCTACCTTCTTGGTCATCATATCCACATTGCAAATTTTATTCTTCACTTTCTTAGACTCACTTACATGTAGTTTGGACTGAATCTTCTAAATAAAATAACCAATAGTTATACCCAAAACATTGTTACAGCATTAATATGGAGTTACTAAGTCAAAAGTGTTCAAAATAGCTTTTGATGAATTTTTCAATATCACCCAGTGATACTGTTTGTCATGTTCATTGTAAAGTAAATGGCAGATTAAATTTTTCAATAATTCATAGATTGGTTATTTTTAATTATGTGTAAAGTGTGTATGTAAACTTTAACTTCCAGTAGATGTAAAGTAATACAAAGATAATCTATCTTGTTACTTTAAAGACAACCAAAATACATAATTCTTTTACTAAATACATTTGTGAAATTTACACTGAATTCCCCTCGAAGAAGTCAAGCCTTGTTTCAGTAAGCATGGAATGCTACCACCAGAGGGTGACATAATGAATTTCCTCTTCCTTTTCACCTTGTTGAAGTGATGCTCATGGAGCATTGTCTGCAGGCAGCATGAGGTGTAAGGTTGAAGCAGGCCTACAGTATGTTCAATAATTAATAATGTCCCTTTGGAACTGTGGCTGAAATCTAGCCGCAGAGGTTTGCTGCGATGTGACTAAACATACAAAACAATTGCGAGAAAAATAACACTCTGTAATTATGCATCAAAACACAAAGTGCACTTGGAATATTTTTATTGGCCGTATTGCAGATCTTCTGTTTCTTTGTCTGCTTTGTGGCTTACACAGGCTTCCTCTGCAAACATCAGCCATGTGTTGCCTTCCTTCTGCCACACACCAGTGAAACTGAATCTGCCTGTGAGGACTAACACAAGTGCATTGAGGGTCTGTATGAGATAAACTTGCAGAGAATATCTGCAGACATATCAAATATATCCATATTAGCAGCTCATGACGCCATAAAGGAACTGATCCTTGTTCGTGATGTTAATTCTATATGCTTGGCAATTAGAATACTGATATTACATAAAACAATTTTTGTACGAGGTTAAAAAAAGACATCTATTGATAAATTCATTGTAGCTTTCCGAAATGAGCACTTATTTGCATGGATGGGCGTTGTGTGTTGCTCTGATGAAGTTCTCTCTGTTATTGTATACAAGTATAAAATGCTTAGTGGTCCACTTAGCACTGCATAGTGTTCACAGGAGGAACATTACAAAAACAAACCAGATAAAATACACCAACGTCTTTTTATTGGACTGTAGTGTTTGTGGATAACTCTTGGCTCTAAAAATCCTAGTGAGATAATACCTTGTTGTATTCATGACCACAGGATGAAATAACTGTAGAGGCTTTTTGATGAAGAGGCAGACGGGTTGTGATGATAGATGGATGAGATATGGCTGTTTGCGGGCTTGATGGCTGGCTAGATGAACAGCATTCAACAATGGACTGGGGCTGTGAACGAGGGCCCCCCATAGTGCTGATTCTCAAAATCCCTCTCAAACAAGCTTTTTTTCAGTTACTGCCATTCACAATTTCATTGTGCTGCAGGGAACTAACCCAAGCTTTGGGAAAAATAAACTGCTTCTAATAAATTTTATTTTTTACAATATTTAGTATTCTCTAAAAGATGCTTATCTATGGGACCAGAAAATCCTATAACCCCCTTTTTTTTTGACAAGTTTGATCTTTTCAGGTAGGTTTGTCAAGACTGCAGTAATTCTGTTTTAAATATGTTTCTGAAGAGTTATCATTCTGGCGATAGCCTACATTTGAGGTTTTCACTTAAAACATACCAGTTTCAGGATTTTACAAAGTAGGCCATCAGCATCAGTATTACATCATCTTAAAACGAGCTGAT